AGGATCTGGTATCTCTGGGGGCCATAAGCAGCCTTTGAGGACAGGTAATGCAGGTACAATCGTCCCCATTTAGCAGAGGATGAATTTAAAGCCCAAGTGAAGGACTTCGCTGGTGGTCTGGTGGCTAAGAATCTGCCTACCAGCACTATTTACAATAGCTAGGACATGGAAGCAACCTAGATGTCCATCTACAGATGAATGGATAAAGAAGTTGTGGTACATATACACAATGGAATATTAGCCATAAAAGGAACACATTTGAGTCAGTTCTAATGAGGTAGATGAACCTAGAGCCTATTATACAGAGTGAAGTAAGTCAGAAAGAGAAAAACAAATATTGTATATTAATGCATGTCTATGGAATCTAGAAAGATGCTCTGATCAACCTATATGCAGGGCAGCAGTGGAGATGCAGACATAGAGAACAGACTTATGGACAAGGGCCGAGGAGAGGAAGGAGAGGGATGAATGGAGAGAGTAGCATGGAAGCATATACACTAACATGTGTAAATAGATAGCCAATGGAAATTTGCCGTATGACTCAGGGAACTCAAACCAGGGCTTGGTAACAACCTAAAGGGGTGGAAATGGGTGGGAGGTGTGAGGGAGGTTCAAAAGGGAGGAGACATATGTACACCTATGGCTGATTCATGTTGATATGTGGCAGAAATCAAAGCAATATTGATTGATTGATTATTGCATCAATGAATTAAAAAAATATAAATTAAAAAGTAGACAATAGAAAAAAGAGATTTCATCTTCTTCCTATGCTTAATAAATATTAAAATATATAAAATCTAACACCTCATATTCACTTTTAAGAGTATTTCCTTTTCCTAGAGTATATATACATGATCACCTGTGTTTACTTATTATCTATCAAATGACCTTTCTTGATTATCTATGTTATCATCACTCGATTTTCCCTGAGAAATACTGTCCAATAATGTTGCAATAAATAATATGTGTGTGTCATTTAAAAAAAAGAAAAAAAAATCCACCTGCCAGTGCAGGGGACATGAGTTCAATTCCTGGTCTGGGAAGATTCCTCAGGCCTCAGGTCAACTAAGCTCATGTGCCACAACTACTGGAGCCTGCATGCCCTAGAGCCCATGCTCTGCAACAAGAGAAGCCACTGCAATGAGAAGCCCATGCATTGCAATGAAGAGTAGTCCCCGCTCGCCGCAACTACAGAAGGCCCATGCACAGCAATGAAGACTCAGTGCAACCAAAAAAAACTTGGAAAGTCAGAAAGCCCAAGTGAAGTGAAGTGACTCTCCTGCAGTGAAATACAAGATGATATTCTGCCATATCTACCAACTGCCAAAATAACAAAATTCCTCTGGACTGGGGGATAAATAATGTTGTATAGCCTGGGAGAGGTGCCACACAGATAAGATAGCAGGGTAGGGGTAGGAAATCTGGTGGCGCTGCTGATGGTGTTGTGGGGCCAAGGGAGATTCCCATGCTCGGGCCCCATGTGAAGTGCTGGCGCCCAGGTATGGAGCAGGCTGAGATGCATCCAGCTTGCTGCAGTCAATCCCTGGTTTCTAGACCCCAAGGACTATGGCTTCATGGAGAGGCACTGCAAGTGTAGAATGAATTTCCCTGAGGTCAATTCAAGGCTCACACTGGGGCACTGTTTGGATATCAACAGCCAAATCAAGCAAAAGATCATACCACCAATCTCCAAAGACCAAAACACAATTGAGAAGTTATTGGTATAATTTAAGAAATGATTTGTGCCACAATCTATATCACTTGGGAGGCTGTATTATGATAGAACTCTACAATTCACTTAGAGAATAACATTTTTTTTTAAAGTTTTGACTCATATACTAATTTTGGTGATCAGTTGCTAAAGGTTTTTTACATTTAGTATTACCCCTAACCCTAAGTGACGCAACTCTTAGGCAGGGGAACCTGGACTCCAGACTCCGGAAGAGGAAACACTTATGGACTGTATTTCTCAAATGGAGCTGATTTTCTCCTCGCTTCTACCTGCTACTTTCAGGTGACTGGATATTCCCTCTGAGATCTTTTAGTTTCTTTTCTGTTCCCATCACCCTGGAATCCACCAAATTGCAAAGTCCCGTCTCCAGCTCTCGGAGAAGTCAACCACAAGGTGAAGAGCTACTGTTGACCACTACTGACTGAAGACTGGTTTCAGAGAGGCCGGCTGGGAGCTTGGGGTCTGGACCAACAGACCTCGGTGCAGGGACCCGCGCTGCCACTGCCTGGCCTTGTGATACTCGTCAAGTTAGTTCATCCCTCTGAGCCTCATTTTCTCCCTTTATACAATGATGGTAAGAGGGCCTACCTCAAAGAGCTCCCCATGGGTAAGATGAGAAAAAACATGTAAAACACACCAAAATGTTCTCAGTGGTTATTTCTGAGTAGTTTGTGTTTGACTACTGTCTTTGAACTATTTCATACTTTTTATGTACAATGAGGACACACATTTAAAAAATATAACTGTTTTTAAGGAGAGAAAGAGGGAAGGAAGCATCATGCAGATGGCACACTCTGTCCATCACAGCCTCTGGATGAAGCTACAGCCAACTTAGGCAATGGATCGTGTCCATGTCTTGTCTACTAAATAATAAGAGCTTAATAGGGATAGTGAAAGAGATCACCAGCCTAGGTTGGATGCATGAGACAAGTGCTCGGGCCTGGTGTACTGGGAAGACTCAGAGGGATTGGGTAGAGAGGGAGGTGGGAGGGGGGATCCGGATGGGGAATACATGTAAATCCATGGCTGATTCATGTCAATATATGACAAAACCCACTACAATATTGTAAAGTAATTAGCCTCCAACTAATAAAAATAAATGAAAAAAAAATAATAAGAGCTACTATTCCTAAGCCCAGCACTACAGAGATGGGTTCATCTCACTGCTCCAGCATCGTCAAGCGGGTCGTATTAATATTTGTCTTTTACAGAAGAGTTAACCAAGGCCTGGGACAGTCAGAAAATTTGTCCAAGGCCATAGAGGCAGGATTTGAACCCAGCCCGGGGTCTTCAGCTGCTGGGTGGCAATCAGTTTTGGGGCCAGGGCATGCCCTCGCAACTGTCCGTTCACTGCCACCTTCAGGGAGGGAGCGGGGACCCCGCTTTTGGCTGGTCTCCTCGACTTACTGCTGGTGTAAACCAAGCAGAGGCCCCCAGGCCTGACGGCTGAAGAGGCCGCCATTCGGATGACTGCGGAAGGGCTCGCTGGGCGCTCTGGGTGCTGCTGGGGAATGGTGATGACCCAAGGGAGCAGGATGAGCCCTGGCCTTGGAGTCAGGGTTCCTTGGACCTGGATTCCCCTCTTGGCTCTGCCACTCATCAGTCCCCCGGCCTGGGGAAACCTTTCCTTCTCTCAGGATCTGTGAACCAAGAGGACATCTAGACCGCACATTCTCCCAGTGTCTCAGCTCCTCAAATAAAAAGCTCAGTGTGAAAAATGCCATCCAGGAGCATTAAAAATCAATTCTCGTTTTTGGTGGCAAAGGCTTGAGCTTCATCTTGTCACTCCACAGGTCCCCTAACTCTGGTATTTTTATTCTCCTCAAAATAACCTTTTCAAAAGGCATCTGCACACTACTGCACTGGCCTTTCTGAGGACGCTGTGAGGCTCGGCAGGGACTCACCATTAGCACGCATCACAGCAGATTCCAGCCAGACCCCTGGGAAGCAGGGAAGCCAGACCAAATGTCAGAGGAAGCACAGAGCAAGCGCCTAACTGATGGACACCCGGTGTCCCGACACCCCACGTCTCACAGAGACCCTTGGCCTGGGCAGGGTCTGTGACTCACTGGGCAGCTTTTATAACTCTTTGATGATCACTGATGTGAATCAAAAGGAGACTTTCGTGGGTTCACTTGGATACTTTGGCCAAAAATCAAGAAGAGAAAGATGACTTTTTAAAAACACCTAGCTTGTGTTTTATTATTGTGTTATATGATCCAGGCCTAGATCTGTCTCAGCAAGGGCTGCTGTAGCAAATTACCAGAAACACGATGGCTTCAAACATTAGGAATTTAATCGCTCACAGTTCCAGAGGCCTGAAATCAAGGTGCCGACAGGGCCGTGCTTCCTCTGAAAGCTCCAGAGGAGAACCCTTCCCTGTATCTTCCAGTTCCTTCTGGCTTCTGGCAGTCCTTGGCTTATGGCAGCAGCATTTCAATGGGCTTCTACCCTTTGCATCTGTGTATAACTTCCCCTTTCCTTTCATTTTAAAGACACCAATCACTGGAATCACCCTAAATCCAGGATGATAACATTTCTAGGTCCTTAACTAATTAAATCCACAAAGTCTCAACTTCCAACAAAGGTCACATTCTGAGGTTCTGGGCGGACCTGAATTTGGTAGGGTGGGGGTGGGGAACACTCAAACCAATTCAGGACAAGTGTCCTGATGGTTTAGCAAGCATACCTCATGTGGGCTCAGGACTGGGGCGGGGTGGTACTCATGTTTTCTATCTGACATCTGGATCCAGCCCAAGCCATTAGCCTTACAGATGATGGAACTAAGCCCCAGAGAATAAACACATCTTGACCAATGTCATACAACTAGGTAATGCCCCAGGAGACAAGAATAAAGAAGTAAGAGGACACAGAGGTGGAGTGGCAGTGGGCTGGGTTGGGAGGGGATGAGGAGGTAATTATCTCTTTACTTGTGGGAAAACAGAGAATGGCATCTTCACCTTTGAAACCACTGTCCAAAAAAGGTCTGGATGAGGGATAAAAATGATAACTAGCTTATTAGAGAGACAATTTAGGGGCCTTTGAGGAATTAGTTTCATTCTGAGCATCAACATGGAGAGGACTGTTTGCCTTTTTTTGGGCTGAAGGAATCAGAGCTCCTCTCAATGAGCAAAAGCCTTTCCAGACTGAAACATCGTGTGTACAGATGCCTGCTGGTTGCCATGGTGAATGATGCTGATCTGAAGAAATGAATAATGTGAGCGTTGGGGGCGACAGTGCAATTACTCAGACAGTGGTGAGAGAGACATCAAGGAGAGCCCAGAGAGCCCAAAGCAGAGGAGGGGAGAAGGCAGCATCCTTGGGCTCTGATCCACTCTGCCTCTGAAGGGTGCCTAATAACCGGATCACTGCGAGCATCAGGTAAGGGACATACACGGCTCTTCTTGGGAATGGAAATGGCTTTTCCTTTCACACTCTGCTTGGAGGAGAGCCAGGCAATGGTAATATGAGTAGCTAAAAATAGGGGGGATTGAGAGACAGAAGAAGAAAAACAAATACAGGGAGACATCTAATCCTAAAAACTGTGAATGCCACATCTTGACAGAAAGCTTTTTAAAATGTCTGCTGTAGAAAACTCAGTCTGCAAAGATAGCCAGCGCAGATGTGAGAGATTCATGACAGGAAACAGGATTCCCAATCAGTTCGGATGGAGGGGTTTACGAGGGCTATTGCCTCTGTAGGACAAGTAATGAATTAAGCTCTTTTCATTGTGGTTGGAAGTATATTTGTGGAGTCATGGCAGGTACTGGGACGGGTGTGTATGTACAGAGACCCACGGAGGGCACGCAGGTTCTCAGGCTCCTCTGCAAAAGACTCTCTTTCTGGAGGGATCTGAGCACCCCTGCCTCGTCCCTTTCATTCCCCATTTTTCTGGGAAAACATTTCCAGCCAAATGGCAAGGAACTCATTCCTCTTCCTGAGGATTGTAGTTTACTGTCATCTTTAGATAAGAAAATCAAGCACTGAGGATCACTCATTGCTGGGCACCTTTCTGCAGCTCACCTTCTCTAGGAGCAAGGGCATGAGAATAGGAGGTCAGACGGAGGCAGGGAGGAGAGAAATAAGCTCATGAGGAACCAGTCTGGCTTAGTATCCAATTCAGGTTAAAATCTGATCAACTGTTTTTTTACTATGCTGCTGCAGTCAGAAATGAAACCTCTGTCTTTCATATGAGAGAGTGGGGGCAGAGGACTGGGCTGGGTGATATCTATCTGTGAACACACATAGGTTGACTATGGCTGTCTCTAGAATTTTAACTCAAGGGCAATTCAGCAGAGAAGAACTGAATTCTCTCAAATACACGGAATTAAAAAGAAACTAAAAAGCTTGAAGATGGCGCACTCTTAACCAAAGTGAGAGGGTGGCAGCCAGAAGAGGGATCATTTGATGTGTTGGAAAAAGCAGCAAGCCAGTCTTAGTACCTGCACCTCATTTTGTGATAACATTCTACTACTAAACCTGGAAATCCAGAGGTTATGTGGCTTTGGGTCTTGTTAGCTGATGGCTTCTCTTAGATTGCTCGTCTGTAAAATGGGAATCTAGTTCAGGGGTCGTGATGAATAAAGCATATTCGTTACAGTATGTTGAGCTTCTAGCATGATCTGTGACATAGCAACTGCTTGGTAACTGTGACTGGTGATTACCACCGTTAACAGTCACAGAACCAGCAGTATCAAACAGGAGCAGCTCTGCTGGTATTTGGAGCTGATTATCTTGACCTGGGAAACAAGTTTCCTGGGTAATTCAGCTTTGAAAAAAGCAAACAAATGGACAAAACATGACCAGAGGCTTTGGGGAGAAATGAGCTGGCCCTGAGCGACTGACGCAAAGCGCCTCTCGCCACGGGCAACAGAACTGCGAGGCTAAAAACACAGTGGCCAGAACATTCTAGATGAATGAACTCACAGCACTTGGGGCAGAAACAGGAGGTCCAGAGGGAAATTTAGGTGCAACAATCATCTGGCTTGGAGGTCACAGGCCTATGGGGATTAACACAGGGAACCTGAGGCTGTGCTGGCTTCTCCTTCATTCCTTTATCTTCTCCCTCTTCCTTTTTTTTTTTTTTTTAAAGGTTTGGGAACCATGTTGTATTTAAGGATTCTGAGACAGGGCAGCATGGGGCTGGGGCAATCTGGGTGCATCTTTCCTAGGCCTGCAAGCCCCTGGCTTTGGCATGAGATGGCCCTGATCTGAACTGTGGTTCTGCCATTCCTCGGCTATGCCCAGCTGAGTATTGTCACCTTTTGGCCTCCATCTCTCAGTCTGTAAAACGGGGGCAATATTAGCCTCCATGTTGAATACTCAATGCACGGTAGCTGTGATTATCATAAATCAACACTTAAATGAGGACATGTCACTCTTCACTTTGATTCTGGTTTCAGAATCGAGATGAACATCGAGGTTGGGAACGTTTCTTATACGGGAGCCATCATTTCCTGGTCGTCCTCGGAGCCCTGCCTGGAGGACTATTACCATATTATGTATAGGCCCAATTGGAACAGCATCTTCTCTGGCTATCTTCGCTACAGCTTCCACCACGAGGAGAAGGTACCTCGAACAATCAGCTCCGTGGTGCTGGAACACCTCACCCCTTCCACCCTCTACTTCCTGTGCATCAGCTGCAAGAAGATTCTCTTCCCCTACAGGCACTACTGCACCATGTTCCACACCCTGGATAAGACTCCACTGGCCGCTGGAAGCTCCCTGGTGGACCCCCAGATCTCCCTCTGGGTGCTGATGGCCATTCTGCTGGCCTGCTTCACGGCAGTCTTAGCCTTCATCTGCCTCCAGTTCTGGTGTATCCGGTGCCACGAACCTCGATGGTCTTACAGAGCTGGCCACGTGGAGGAGGCCAATGGGCTGGTGAGATGGCCAGAGGAGGCCCCGGGGCTAGGTCAGGGGGAAGAAGGGCTGCAGGGGCTCCCCCTGGTGGAGCTGCCACGCAAAAACTCTGGAGAAGATGCGGGACCAGCCGCTGAAGCGGCAGCAGTGGAAGCCAGCCGGCATGCCCCTGATGTGGGTGCCTTGCAGAGGGAGGGAGGTGGTCAGGCTGCATTGCCTCGTTTTGGGTAGTGAGGGGTGGGGAGGAGGCACCCCACATCATGTAGCTCCATGATCAAGGCCTCCATGCAATAGGTCTCCTGTAAAAATGCATCTGTAGACTACCCACTCATCTTCCCTCAAATGACTGAGGTCTTGTGAGCTACTTGGTTGGATGAGTGCCCTTGGACAAAGCCTTTCAAGCTGGAAAACACACACACCCCTGGTGGGCAAGGGGAGGAAGATGGCATCTCGTAGGAGGGTCCATCTAGAGCAGCAGGGCTCAGTTAGAAAATAAAAGCACTATTTTAAAATTAAAACAACCATTAGTATATTATAGATTAGAAAGTGAAACTGACATGACTGAAATAAAACACACTTCAAGGACATTGTTGAGTTAATTGAAGATAGGCTCTTTAGTTACACTTTCAGTCAGCTGAGGCAAATGTCCAGGCTCCTTTGCTCTTACAGGGGTGGGGGGATTATTTTGGAAAGATGTGAGAGACTTTGCTCTAGAGTATTTTGCTACTTTCAGCCAATTGCACACCACTTGTACCCCGTCTTTTTTTTTAAACCACAGACTATCAGTACTATTATTAACAATGCATTTTCTTTATATTGAGTCATTTAAAAAACTTCTTTTAAAAGAAAGCCCATGTTACTCCCCAAATGAAAAACCAGCACCCTTCTGCTATAATAAATAGAAGGAAAGAGACATAATAAGTGGAATAAAAACAAAATCATATTAAAAATTTGACTTGGATACTATTACCATCTAAGGACTCTGAGCTTAGGGTCTGCACTCTTTGATAAAAAGGGAAATTAGGAATTGCTGGAGAGCTATTAAAGACATTTTGACACCAACTCAAGACTTGCTCCTTGATATCATCAGCAAGGTTTAAAAAAGAATAGAAAAGGGAGTCCTTTTGTGAGTCATTGTGAATTCATGCCATGCCTGTGAACTGTCCACAAGACTGTCTGGAAGGGTGCCCTGAGAGAGCAGCCTTGACCAGACTGGCTGCTCTGGAGGAGACACCTGCTGTCTCTCAGCATCAGCCTGAGACTTTCTAAGCCCCACCTTCCCACCTTCAGGCCCGAGTGATGGGCACTCATCTTGGTTCCTTACACTTCCCAAACCAGGGCTCCCATACCTAGAGGAGTGCCTTGTCTAACCATGTTACACTTATCCGGTCACTGCTAAGTCCATCTGTGCTTGTGTTGTGAAAAATGGGGTCAGAAGTGGCCATTTTTACCCATCACAAAAAAGAACCTAGGCTTTTTAGCTGTTTCTGCACTCCTTCCATGGCATTCTCACACACAAACCTGCACGGTGAAAGACAATCTCCTACACACATCAAGGTGTTGGTGAATCTGTGGAGGGTGATCCCCTGTGCCCACCCCCCAGGGAGGAAACAGAAGTGGAGGAGGGTGGAGATGAGTCTGCTTCGATCTCTGCTAAATCTCCAGCATGGAGGCCCTGCCCAGCATGTTCTAGGGCTTAAGGAATATCCGTTTGATGATTGGCAAAGGACTGAAGGTCCAGAACAGACACTGCCTGGGAGGCTTCACTAGTGTCGGGATCAGCATTGTGAACCAAGCAGCAAAGAGACAGGATGAGACCTCGCAGAGGTAGTTCTGGCCATCTGGGATTTCCTTCAAAGTTCCACCTTCCCAACTGCTTCCTGGCTGCAAACCCCTCATAGTTACAGAGCACAAAATCCCAGAATCGCAGGATGATACGACAATGAATCAACTGAGAACAGGAGAAGATGGGACGCTAAGACAAGGAGACCCTCTCACCTGTTTCCCCATTCCCACCCGGAACCCAGCCCCACCAGGTCTGCGCTCACCCCAGTCTTGCTAGTTGTGAACAAATAAAGATGAATATATTTGCAGTTGTTTCTGCCTGGACCTCACTGCTGCCTCTCTATCTGCATGCTTCTTGCCTTTCTGATTCGGGGAACACTTTTCTATTTTCTTTTGCTCACTAGTTCCTCTCAGAAGTGGGACACAGGCAAGACCACTCACCTTGGACCCATAGAGGTAATAAGGCTGGACGTTGGCGGGTTTATCTCTCTGCGGTTCCTGGGTGAAAGGAATGGCAGTCCGGACAAAACTAGTAGGAGAAAAGAGATGCGGCAGGAGTTAACTGGGTCCTAACATTCTTCACGGGTTACAGAGCGGGAGCCCTTCCTGACCAGGGGCAACCACACTGTTTCTTAGGCGGTTGCCTATACAGTTCTTGAGACAAACTCCCGTTTAACCCCTGTCTCCTTTTCATGAGGGCGTCCCTGGTGGCTCCGGTGGCAAAGAATCTGCCTTCAGTGCGGCAGACCTGGGTTCCATCCCTCGGTTGGGAAGACCCCTGGAGGAGGGTATGGCTACCCACTCCAGTATTCATGCCTAGAGAATCCCCAAGGGCAGAGGAGCCTGGTGGGCTACAGTCCATGGGGTCGCAAAGAACAAACGGGAACACAGCAGTCCAGGTTCACAGGCTCAACTCTGGGCCTACAGCTGCTGAGAACAGTGGCCAAGAAAGCTGAGAATGAATTGAGCCTGAGCACAGCCTTTTCCAGGACCCTTCACCCAGTTTGGTTTCCTCAAGAGTAGGGTGCTACAAACTCTTTCTGTAAAGCCCCAGATAGCAAATATGTTCAGCTTTGCAAGCCAGATGGTCTCTGTCGCAACTACTCAGCTCTGCTGTAGCATGAGAGCGCCATAAACAACCGTAAATGAATGAGCACGGATGGCAGAATTCCAATAAACTTTCTGAATGTCAAATAATTTCCACCTGTCACCAAATTATAATTCTTCTTTGGATTTTTCACCCCCAGCCATTTAAAAATATCAATACCATTTTTAGCTCATGGGTTGAACAAAAACAGTTGACAACTAGAGGTGGCTTGTGGGCTGGAGTTAGCAGATCTCTGGTCAAGAGGATTGAAATTCCCAAATCTTTAGAAAGGACCGGAAGCCCATCTTGCTAAGTGTGTGGACTCTTCCCAGGCCCTTTCCTGCATCTGGCACATATTTATTCAAAGCTAGCCATGAGCCAGGCCCTGATGATACTGAGAGCGCCTCCTCTAAAGGAGAGTTGGCTGCTTCTGCCCCTGCCCCCAGGTGGCGCTAGTGGTAAAAAAGCCACCTGCCAATTAAGGAGATGTAAGAGAAGAGGGTGCGATCCCTGGGTGGGGAAGATCCCCTGGAGGAGGGCATGGCAACCCACTCCAGCATCCTTGCCTGGAGAAACCCACGGACAGAGGGGCCCGGAGGGCTACAGTCCATAGTCTCAAAGACTGAAGGGACTTAGCATGCACGCGCACCCCCGCCCCAGGCCACTTCACCCTGAGACGCCCTTACCGGTTGGTGGAGCCGTTATAGCAGTAGTTGGGGAGGAAGTCGAAGTTGAGCTCCCAGAAGACGTGAAGGGTGATTCGGCCGTAGGGGGCGGACACATTGTGGTTGGCCTCCCGAAACATGGCGTCGAAGCTGTCCAGGGTCATGTGTTTACACAGCAGCCGGTGTGTGAGCCGGTTGATCTCCAGCAGCCACTCCAGCTCCTGCCCGGAGAGAGAGCCCGAGGCTGCTGAGGACTTGCATATGCGCCTTGCACACCAGTATTGCTACCTGACAGATGCCTTTCATGCAGGCAAGAGCCCCTCAGACAGCCTCCTAACTGCTGGTATGGGGACTAGGACTCCTGCAGTGGTATGTGGCAACATTCCCTTCTTTTGAGCGAAGGAAGTGCCAGACCACGCCAAGGGAGAATGCATGCCTGTACCCAGAAGGGGTCCACAGATCATGTGCAAATCCCTTGTCTGCACTCCCCTGGAGAGAAAAGCACAGATACTTGCTTTCCAGTTTCTATGCTGGTAAGGAAAAAGCCTGTCCCTGAGAGACGCAAGTAAAGTAAAAGAAAATTGTGACTGTCCATCTATGACTGAGGTTCTATCTCTACCCTGCAGAAAGCAAGCAAAAGAGCTAACCCCTGGTAAGTACTTAAAACCAGGTTGGTCCATGTGAGACTACTAGTTTCTTATGTCAAACACCATCCAATGTTAGTAATTTCTTATGGTTCAACCTAATACATGCCAAGGAGTATTCCAAGCACTTAATATGTGTCAACTCACTTAATGCTCAAAACCCCCTTATAAGGCCAGCATGATGGCTGTTCTTATTTTATACAAACATAGAAACTAGGCTTTAAGAAGTGCAGTAACTCGGCTTCAAATCCAGGAAGTTGGGCTCTGACACTCACATTCTTAACTGTTATATACTGTAGAATTTAAAAAACAGCTGGGGGCACAATGTTTCCTTCTCTCGACTCCTCTTGCGTCCCCCAGTCACACGGGTTTTGGTTAAATATGTTGGCAAAAGTTTGGCTGCAAGCCATGGACCAAGGACTTGCATGAACTATAGGCCCTGGTCATCTGGAATGCCACCTTCAGGCAGAGAATGGGACCAGAGTGGATAATATCCAGACATAGCAGGTCACTGCATTTGCTTGGAAGTAAAAAGAAGGTAAAATCTTTTGGGCTGGGTTTAGTTCTTCGCTGCATTGCTATCAAAATCAAAGCACAAACTTGTGCAGAGAAAGAAAGTACCCCCTCTGTAATGCTCTAGGACACTCTTAAATTGCAGTGGTTAAGCCATTATTTGTGATGGGTATGATTGTCCATTTCAAGGAGGGGTAGACTGAGGCTCAGAGGGAGAAATAACTCACTCAATAAAGGTCATAGAGGGAATATAGAACAGGGTTTAGGATGTGCTCCCAGGTCTTCTAATAAAATCATGTGTATTTGGTCCTTGGATGCAGCTGCCTGGAATAAATAAGCAGTTACTGAGAAAGTCCTTTGAACAGGCTTTACAACATAAAAGCTAAAAGGACATAGGCAATGACTGTTCCCCAGAGTGTGGTCAGGAGGTGGGGCAGTCAGAGGGCCAGCTGTAAGACCTGAGACATGGAGCCCAACTGTTTAAAGTCACAGGAGGAAGCCTTGCATCAGGGATTCAGTTTTATTCTCATCAGCCACAGGACCCCTCTGACTCTGGTTGGGGTCCAGAGTGTGGTGGAACCAGACCACACTTCTAATCTTGGAGCTTCATCTCTCTGAAATTCAGATTCGGTGGCTCTAAACTGGGGGCAAAATACTAGATCAAAGTTTGCAGACTTAACTGGCTGGAGTGAGGCAAGCTGGGGCAGGAGGGAGCCTGGGCTGGGCTGTCCATGGCAAATTGGAGAGCCATTGCCAGATAAAGGTGGAGCGGCTATATCATGGTATCCAATTGTTTGTTACTGCATTGGAAAGGGGTAAGTGATGGCAGAGCCTCTGATCTCTTGGAAAAGGCTAAAGTCTGGATTTCAGTTCTGGAATGGTAGGTGGAAGAATAAGTTTCCAGTGATTGTGCACTGTGAAATATATGAAGGGCAGAAATACAGAATCAGCTGTCTGCTTCCATCTTTTGGGGCCTGGCTAGCCAGATGGCATCTTTGTTCCCAGTCACTTAGGATGGGTAAGTAAGTAAGTAAATAAATAAATGCGAGGAATGTGGATGAGTTTATTTCTAAGATCACTAAGTACCCGTAGCACATGGCGGTGCCCTGTTACCATGAAGACAGCTGCAGAGGAGAAACTGGGACACAATTTCCATTCTGTGATTTCAATGGCCTCACAAATGCACATCTGAGCCTGAAGAAGAGAGCTCTCAACTGCTGACGTGGGGATGCTCGAAATGCAGGTCCACTTCCTCCGCCATGCCACGGGATGCAATACAAATGGTGTTTTGCATCAGCCGTTTCTTCCAGCCTTTCAGTCCGAAGAGGGCACTTGCCTGTGGGGGGTGCAGGGCTCAGTGCCTCAAGGCACAGAGGTTTAGAAGGCCCCAAGGGTGGTCGATGTGCCTTCAGAGAGGAGGTCGGCTCCGCAGAGTAAAGCCGGCTTACTGGGGGGCAACTCAGAGAAGCAGCACGGGAAATAAAACACCCGAGGGGCTACTTCTGTGAGGAAGAGGGAAGCGCGTTTCCATGGGAACCAGAAATCCCGGGTGGCAGCACACTTGATCTTTAACCTTCTCTGTGGCCTGGGCCCAGAGAAGAGCGATCTCAAACTCAGGCACTAGGTCATCCCATGAACGAAGTGCACCAGGCCTGCGGCAAGCCCCAGAGAGCACAGCCCAGCTGATGGGGCGTCTAGTCATTTCTAGGCAATTGTTGCCATATGTGAAGGCAGGTCTGACATTGCCGGGGTTTCTGCAGTTTTATTCGAATTCTCCCAAATGTTAAATGTTGCCTCAAATTTTCAAATATGTTCTGCAGCCTAAGCAAAACACAGACTTCAGGCTGCCAGCTCTCAACTCTGGCATCAGATCCCTTGGAGAATCTGTTTGCTCAGCTGCATAGGAGGAGGGAGACTAACTGATGAAATTGCTACAATCCTCCCAGCTGGGCATCAAGCTACCCCCTCCCCATCTTAGGACGGAGCTGGTAAGGTGGAGGGAAGGGCTGCGGGGAGCACATTCCTTTCTTTGTTTCTCAGAAGAGGCAGAAGGTTCTCAGCCAAGGCAGTGGGGGGCCTCCTGAGCTCCCAGGAGACAGCATCCTGGGCTCTCCTCTTCATGGGCTTCAGGGAATGTGGCTACTCTCTTGGCGGCTGCAGCCCTCACCTGATAAACTCAGGCTTTCACTGCTTGTTTTGATTTTGTTCCCAGCTAAAAGAACATTCAGTGCCTTTCAAGGACTGGGAAGAGGCCATGGACACCCACCACACACTAAAGCCAGTTTTTTCATAGTGTATGCTCATTCATTACTGGAAAACTACAAGATAGAGATAAACAATGAAGAGAAAAGCAAAAATCCCACCTCTTGGACATAATCACTGCAAACATTTGGCAAAGAAAAACATGTCTTCAAAGTAGATCTCCCAGAAGAACTTGTGCTGTATCACAGTCTCTCAAAGTCCATGACCCAGGACAGAGTTGGGGCAGCTAGGTCAAGTCCTCTTAGGAAATGCTGCTGAGAATCTACCCTGAGAGTGCCTCATTTGCAGCTCAAAATTTCTTTTTTTTTTTTTTTTTAAATATTCATTTTATTTATTTGGCTGCACCGGGTCCTGGTTGTGGCAGCTCAAAATTTCTACATTCCTCTCTTTCTTTATAAGATATTTTCATCGAGTGGAAGGGACTATGCAAAGCTCTTTCCAGGCAGTATCTCATTTCATCCTTGAACATGTCTATGAGGTGGATGCTAATATTTCCTCCACGTACTGCAGGTTTCTATACAAGATAAGTGACTCACCCAAGATCACCCAGAACTGGGACCCCACAATCTTTCTGATGCTAGAATCCTAGTTCTTAACCTTTTTTAAAAACTGCTTTGTCCGTTTAAAAAAAAAAAAAAAAACTTTTATTTTGAAATAACTTTAGACTTACAGAAAAGCTGTTAACTGCAGACCTCCTGCACATTCCTGACCTAGTTTCTCCTATGTTAACCTCTTACATACTCATAGTATAATTGCCTAAAGTTGGAAACTATAATTGATATAATTCTATGAACTGAATGACAGACCTTATTCAAATTTCACCAGTTTTTCCAGGAAGGTCTTAACCCACATTTCTCTGAGTGGTCATGTCTCCTTGTCTTTTCAAATCTCTAATAGTTTTCAGTTTTCTCTTTGTCTTTTATGTTCTGGGTGCTTTTGAAAAGCATTGTTCATTTTTGAATGCCATTTGATTTAGATATATAATCACAATTAGATTGAGATTACGCATTTTTCATTATGCATACATATTCAGGGGATGTGTGCTGTGATGTGCTTAGTCACTCAGTCATTTCCGACTCTTTATGACCCCTTGGACTGTAGCCCGCCAGGCTCCTCCGCCCATGGGGATTCTCCAGGCAAGAATAGTGGAGTGAGTTGCCATGCCCTCCTCCAGGGGATGTTCCCAACCCAGGGATCAAACCCAGGTCTCCTGCATTGCAGGTAGATTCTTCACTGTCTGAGCTACCAGGGAAGCCAATTCAGGGGATACATGAATATATTTTCTTACTGGTGATACTGACCTTCAGGCTTGGTTAAGAGGATGCCTCCCAGGTTTCCTTACTGTAAAGTTATTATTCTTCCCTTTGGAATTAGTAAGTATCTTGAAGGAGATAGTTTGAGATTAGACAACTATCCTGTTTCTTCTAAAAGTTTTTTTTAATTTTATTTGTGACTAATTAAAAAATTCTGGTAAAATATACATAAAATTTATCATTTTAACCATTTTTAAATGTACAGTTCTGTGGCATTAAGTACATTCAGGTAGTTTTGAAACCATCACCACCGTCTACCTCCAGAGCTTTTTAATCTTCCTCAACTGAACCTCCGTACCCATCAAATACGAACTCCCTATTTCCTGGCAACTACCACTCCATTTTCGGTCTCTATAAATTTGACTACTCTGGACACTTCCGAACAAAGGAAATCATAAAATACTCTTCTCAAAGCTCTGCCCATGAATTTCAGTGTCTATTACTGGATCTTGCCTGTGACCATTATTACTCTTGTGTTCTAATGGTGATTTTCTATTTCTCTCATTCCTTCTATGTATCTGCTCCTGAAGCTTTAAAATCTTCCTTTTATTCACCTAAAGACTGACCAATCAAGTTTATTCTAATTCTTGAAGATAATTAGCAGAGAGTAGTTCAAATAGCTGATTAATAAAAGAAGAGGGCACACCTGTTCCATACTTGTGCATCAGGAACAACTACACAATTTCCAAGTCCCAGCACAAAATGAAAAGGTGGGGGCTTTCATTAGAAAATGATTATAAATTCCAAGATGGTGACAATGTAGCATTAAACTAGTCAACAGCCTCTCTGGGCTCTAACCTACTGCACACCAATGAAGCCGACCCCACTGAGAAATTTTCCCTCCTTTCTCAGGACCATCCAGCTGCTTGCTGTATTTGTAGAATCCTAAAGGACAAGAAGCTGTGTCCCGGGATAGGCCATCTCTAGAGATTTCAAGACCTCCCTTCACTCCCTCTCTCCAGGCAATCGGGAAGGTAAAATTTCTCTTTTTTTTTTTTTTCCCTTTGCTCATTCAGATTTGAAAGAGACTCATCACTTCTCTTTAACCAGCTCAGTACCAGGCTACCAACAACTCCCCAACAAGGCTTCTAGTCTGAGGAGTCCCACAACAGAACTCCCAAGGGCCCCTGTCTCTTACCACGATTGAGGTCAGGTCCTCACTCTCAAAGCGGCTGATGGCCTGGTCCAAGGATTTATACATGGCAGCAGAGATGCGCTGGGTAATGAGTCTGTTCAAGTCAATGGATCTACCCAACAGCTGCATGGAAGAGACAGAAAGTTACTTAAATTTTACACAGGCACATGACAACTAAATGCAATGCACTGATTTAGTAAATTGTCCTAAAAATATAAAGAACATGACCAGGACATATAGGGACTCTATGCAGAAAACAGTATTGTTAAATTTCCCGAGTATGATAGTACTATTTGGATGATAAGAGGATATCTTTGTTCTTAGGAGATATGAGCTGAGGTATCAGGGGTAAAGTGTTATGATGTCTGCAACTTACTCTCAAATGGCTAAGAAAAAAGTATGTATATTAAAATATATATTTTAATATATTACTTACATAAAATATGTTTTTATAAATTATATATTCTATAAATACATAAAGTACATTTACTGTATTTATGAGAAATAATATATACACGAGAAAAATAAAATGAAGCAAATATGATTAAGCATGAATAATCATGAATCTGGATATAAAGTATATATGTGTGTTCACTGTCTTACTGTTTCAACTATCCTGTAGGTTTAAAATATAAAAAGTTGAGGAAAAATATGGTGCATTCAGATTATAGGAAGAGGCTTGTGATACGCTCTAGCAGCCCATGCAATGCTGACATCCTGAATCTCACCCTGAGGTTCTTCTTGCATCCATCCTATCGTGTAGTTCAGAGACACCAGGGAGGCCCCGTCCCCCTGACCCCAGCAAGGGCCTACTGTGTACCTTTATGAGGATAAATTTAAAAGCACGAGGAGACGGGCTGATTACAGGATGGAAAATATAGCTCAGGCTAATTTCCACTGGGGTTCATGTGGGCATGACTACAGATGCTATGTAGATAGCAATAAACATTTACTGAGTACCTGCTGCGTGCACTGCACTTTGCTATGTGCCTCAGGATTATTCTCAACTATTTTATTTTTTCCTGCTTCCCTTTTGGGAGAGATTTTCTACTAACTGACTAAGGCTCCTTATAGCCATCTTCTGCACACACAAAGCCCTCAGGATTAACATCCTGTGGCTAATTCTAGCTGCACTGGTAATGGAAACTTCTGAGAGGCTGAAGGAGAAGCTCTCATGGAGCCTTCGATGTTGACAGATGGGCAAATGCTTTTTCCTCTTACGATTCTTCCAGCATCGATTTCTCAGAGCAGTGGGACTTTTCAGGTTTTTCAGGGTAATTCCTCTCCTCTCTATCCAGGGCATTTTCTCAGCCTCAGCCTTGTCTTCTTTGGCCAAGTCTTCTCCAGGAACATGTGAACCATAGGATAAGCACACAGAAATCACAGCGTGAAGGTCATTTCACTGCCTGTGACTGACAGGGCTTAGGAGTAGGATTTAAGATCTGCTAAAACATCTCTTTGTTGGCAAAGTCATGTCTCTGCTTTTTAATATGCTATCTATGTTGGTCAGAGAGTCCCTTGGACTGCAGGGAGATCCAACCAGTCCATCCTAGAGGAGATCAGTCCTGGGTGTTCATTGGAGGGACTGATGCTGAAGCTGAAACTCCAATACTTTGGACACCTCATGCAAAGAGCTGACTCATTGGAAAAGACCCTGATGCTGGGAGGGATTGGGGGCAGGAGGAGCAGGGGATGACAGAGGATAAGATGGCTGGATGGCATCACCGACTCGATGGGCATGAGTTTGAGTAAACTCCGGAAGTTGGTGATGGACAGTGAGGCCTAGTGTGCTGCCATTCATGGGGTCGCAAAGAGTTGGACACGACTGAGCGACTGAACTGAACTGAACTGGACTGAAAACATCTCTTATTTTGTCTGCCTGGCTCCCATGAACATTGTTAAGCAGGGATATGTCTCTGGGCTCCTGGCAGCATTTCCTCTATATCATGGGTCAAATGTTAACAAAGACTAACTCCATACCATAATGGGAAAGTCAGGGATAGACTTTCCCATTTCTGAACATCAGTCCCGACTGGAGGAGGTGGGCTGAAGTTCACGTTGTTGTTCAGTTGCTAAGTCGTGTTCAACTCTTCATGACCCCCATGGATTATAAGCACTTCAGGCTTCTCTGTCCTCCAGAATCCCCTGGGGTTTGCTCAAATTCATGTCCATTGAGTTGGTGATGCCATCTAACTATCTCCTCCTCTGCCAACCCCTTCTCCTTCTGCCTTCAATCTTTCCCAGCATCAGGGGCTTTTCCAATAAGTCAGCTCTTCACATCAGGTGGCCGAAGTACTGGAGTTTCAGCTTCAGCATCTATCCTTCCTGGGAATATTCAGAGTTGATATGCAGCTCACGATGGGTATTCAAAAGCTCTGGTGGCCCGCTTCAACTGAAGTGAGCAGCAGATGGGCTGAGAAGCCTAGAACTTGAACCGAAGGAAGCCCAATGCCTCTTGGTAAGATTCTGAGGCTGGATTATCCTATGCTCAGCAGCCCACACAGGGCAATGCCCAGGGCAGATGATACCGGGTCCTGATTTCTGATCGATCTCTAGGCTAACATCACAGCCCCTCTCTCCCACCATTCCCTCTGTCTCCATACCTGGACGTGTCTCTGTTTCAACAGAGTTTCATAGCGGTTGGATGGTGGGTATGGAATGATGACTCCATAATTCTTACATTCGGCCCTAAAACGTTTATCCAACAGGACGCTGGAAAGGATAAAAGTGAAATAAGGCCAGTAAACCAGTAAACATGACAGTGAATGGAGTTCAATCACTCAGCCATATGTATTTCAAACCATAGGTTCTCCTCATAGAGCACTATGTTATATATTTTAAATATTATTATTTTTTCTGCTGTAGAGCAAAGTTCTTTAAATTTTTTTCACCCGGAAAAGCTCAATAGGTGAAATGAAATTTCTACATTAAAGACAGGCAACACAGAAGCTGAGCTGCTTTTTTCCTTTTATTTATTTATTTATTTATTTTACCATAAAAGCAATTGAGTGCATGCTTAGTTTAGCCCAGGAAACAGTCTAGGTACCAAGGATTCAAAGTTCCCATCCTTGTGGAGCTTGGGTTCTAGTGAAAAGAGACTGATAATAAATAAATAAGCAGAGGAATAAAATAATGTTGCTGCTGCTGCTGCTAAGTCGCTTCAGTAGACAATAGTAAATACCTGCATAGTATTTACTATTCACCAGGCATGCATATAGATATGCACACAGTCATTTTTAATCTCATGACAACCCTATGAATTAGATGTTCTATTATGATCTTTCACACTGAGTCATGGATTGCAGAGCAATAAGTGCTCTGAAAATAACAAAACAGGATCATTTGGTGTTAGGAGGTCATGGAAAGTCTCTCTCAAGAGGTCCTGTTGGACAGAGACCTAAATGCTAAAAATGGAAAGATTTGGGGGAAGAATCTTTCAGGCATGATTAGCTTGGTACATTGAGAAAAAGGAAAGATGTAGATAAGGGGTGGGGTGTGTTGGAGAGCATAGTACAAAAATGAATTTACAATGTTAGTCTAGGGGCCAGATCCTTGTGGGATGACACAAGCCACAGTAAAGAGGTTAAATGTTTTCTCAGCATAATTGAAGCCACTGAAAGGTTTAAGCAGGAAAGTGACATCATCTAAATCTACACTGTCCAACACAGCAGCCACCCACCAGCTGAGCCCCCAAGAATCTGAAACATGGTGGGTCCACGCTGAGATGCGCTATTAGTATAAAATACACACGAGGTGTTGAAGATTTAAGAAAAAACAACAAAAACTATCTCTTTAGTAATTTTCACTGATTACATGTTGAAATTGTAATATTTTAGATATCATAGATTATATAATGTATTATTGTTAATTTTAAAAATATGACTGTTAAAATTACACTTGTGCCTGCATTATATTTCTGATGGACAGCAGTGATCTAGATCATTCTGTCCCTCTGGCACTTTCTGACTCTTCCAACTTCTCACAATCTCCCCCAACTTCCTGTATTTTTGACAAACCACAAGTCTTATGAGAAGGGATATAGACCAAGATTCCTCTTTTAGATAAGGATATTTTGTAAACTAAATATATAGAGGACTCAGGGTTTGACAAGTCTGAGTTTGTTTACGCAGACAATGGACCAGCATATTTTGAAGATAACTGGAATTATCTTGGAGAAACTGGAAGCCCAGCTCTCTGGTAGGACCACATACAATTCAATCCAATCCAGATCCTTGTAAAGTCATTCCTTTGTGAAAGGCTGCATTCTCTATGCTTCCCTGAAACCCTAAGTATATGCTTTCTATAGTTTCCATCATTAAGAGTCATTCATTTCATTTAACGCACACTCTGTGTTAACAGACACTTGTGTGCTGTACACCGACTCTTGGGAAGCCCTGGTGGCTCAGCAGTAAAGAATCCGCCTGCCAATGCAGGAAACATGGGTTCGATTCCTGGGTTGGGAAGATCCCCTGGAGAAGGAAATGGCAACCCACTCCAGTATTCCTGCCTGGGAAATCCCATGGACAGAGGAGTATGGCGGGCTACGGTTGATGGGTTCGCAAGAGTCAGACTCTACTTAGCGACTAAACCATCACCACACCAACTCTTGACTGAATTACATCAGAGAAACTCCAGTTGTTGAAAGCAAAAGGAAGCAAGTCTTTAACTGTTGAAAAATGTAACAATCCTTGAAATTTCTGGTTTGTACATTTGGTTTTCCAATAAAAAAGAGAACTACCCTATATATATAGATACACATATGTATATGTATCTATGTATCTCTCTGTATCTATGTATCTCTCTCTATATATATATACATACATATGTGTATATATATAGATACATACATGTATCTATATATATAGAGAGAGGATTTTGCTGACCAGTACTGTTGAGGGTTCCTCGAACACAGGAAATCATAGGGGTCTAAATCAGCCCATACTGACAATACCAGTGAGCCTGTGAGAACTGGCACACCTAGACTTCTTCCCTGGTCTCCTGTTTGATCTTCACACTCCCCATATTTGCTCACTCCAATCCATTCCCTACATTTTAATGTTTTAAAACATCAAACTTCTAAAAATAAAAATCAAACCAGGTCACTGTCATACTTTGGAAATCATCCCATGGTGTTCCACTTCTCCTAGGATAAATGCCTATAAGACCACAGGGCCTGGGCCCTGCCTACCTGCCCAGCTTTACCACACAGCACACCCCTCTGCGGTCTGTGAATGAGATATTTACATGCACTAATTTTAATTAAACCTTTCAACAACCCTACGAGGTATGCATGCTATTAATATTATGCTTTTGCCAAAGGGACTTTGCACAGTGGTTTGTTTTACCTGCAGTTTTCCATTCTTTACCTAGTTTAACTCAATCAACACCTATTCACTTCAGATGTGAACTCAAATGTTACCTCAGGATAGCCCTTCCAGTTACCCACCCTAAAGACTGGTTCAGGTTTAACTGTTATATATTCCCAATAAATTTTCTTTCACAGGAATCTCCCTTGTCACTGTGCATTCAATAGTTTTCATTATTGTCTATTTTTCTCACTACACTGTAAGCTCTGTGAGGTCTAGCCCCATATCTGCCTATTTCTCTTTCTTCTACTTGCTAGCACCCAATCCAGGCTAATGGAATCATTCAGATTTCCTTAGATGCTAAAGCAGAAGGGAGGTTTTGTAACACAGGATCTTGCCTTCCAGGTGGCAATCTTAGGAAAGTTTGGTGCCATAGTGCTGAGCTCTCATACCTGCCGGCCATGGCTTTGTAGTAGGCAAATATCTGGTCCGCCAGCTTGTAGACAAACTGATCAAAACACAGGTTCACCTGGTGAAGAAAGCAGGAAATGTCACTGGTGTCTGTCCCACTTTATTAGAGAAACTGCAGCAACTGAAGAGGGCAGTGGGGTAGGACTGCCTGAAAGTGTGAGAAGGAACATGATGCTTTGAAGGAAAGAAAAAAAAAAAGATTCTGTGGCCGAGTACGTTTGGGAAGTGTGGTCCCTTGCTCTCAAGGTCCTCAACCAGGCACAGAGAAGGCAAGATTCAAAAAGCTGTTGAAGAATTGCCCTCCCCACTGGCCACCTCGTGGCTGTTACAAGGTACCTGCCCACATCCTGTAATTACACATATCAGTCTCCCCATCTCCTAATAGACTTTCTTTTCTTTTCCTTTCATTTTATTTTTACCTTGCATTGCAAAGAAAGAAGTTGATGGTCATTAAAAATTTAAAAACCTCCTTTTTAAAAAGTTTGCTTAAAAATCTTTGGTGAGCAAGAGACCATCTTGCCTTTTCAGTGTTTTATCGTGTCGGTACCAGAACGTGATGTTCAGGTGAGAAGAAAGTTCAACCTAGGCACAGGGGACTGAAACCAAATTCTCCAATGATGGCAAGAGCAGGGAATGGCCAAAGGTGGGATGTTAAAGAGATGGGCTGTGGTAGTTGCAGGGTAATAATGGGATAACTTTGTAGCAACAGACTGTATTTAGGTGATTAATCTTCCATCCTTTTAGCACCAAACTCCCAGCTCCATGAGGCTCTTTATCCAAAGAGCTTTCATATCTTTTATTTTATACCATAAATACTATTTTGAACATAAAAACAATGTATGCGAGTAACCAAGCCCTCTGCCCTGGACTTTGAGCTTCAAGGGTGCCCGGGGGGGGCTCCTATAGGCCAAGAATCCATAGGGTCCAGGTGGGGGTGCTCAACTCCTGCTCCCCTTCTAGAACCAGCTTTGAATATTCTTGCCCAAATAGCCCAAGCCCCTGCTAGGGCCTATGTGCTCTTTGCCCTGGGTTCACCCCTGGGGGTGGACTGCACTGCAGATGTATATACCCCGAGGGCCCAGGGTTGACCAAACGGCCATTGTTTGAGGGCAGGGGTAGGAGACGGAGCTTGGGGAACCACGCAGAGGCCTTTCCAGGTTCAAAACAGAGTCTGAGGATGGGAAAAGACAGGGGGACAATTTACATGTCTGCTTCATGGCCACCTATGCTATTCTGGGCTGGTCTGTATGCTTTCTTTCCATTTATTTTTTAAACGTCACTTGTCTATAGGATACTCCTAGATTTTTTGTTTTCAACCTGTTAGAGAACATGATTAACTAAAATCTTATCAGAAAATGGACTTGTTAAAGTTGAGAGGCAACCAATTAACTTGTCTGCTGGAACCTTTCTTCCCAAGTTTGCATACTGCTCAGAAGAGGACAGATTTGCATTGGGCTTCCCCAAGGTTCTCAACTCCCACAGCAATTGAAAGATTTAGAAAGAAAGCAGCATCTCTACTAGCTTTTGTTTGAAATATATAAACTTTCAAACTAATTTGGTAGTAATGCTTATCCTAAAATATTCACATCTATCCTTTATAAATAAGAATATCTTATATTTGTACCTTATATTTGAAAATCTTATAATGATAATTGGTCTAATTATATGTTTATATAACTTCACATACTTGAGTGGAGACTCTCATTCCAATTTCCAGATGACAAAACTGAGATATTTTGTAGTCCTTAGTGCTGTTGATCTCCAGTTTCTGCTCCTTGTTGGCCTGTGGTAGGACTGCACTTTTTCACTCCTCTTTGAAAGCAAGCATAACCAAGTGACTTGCTTTGACCAATGACATGTGTCACTTCCAGCTGGAAGCTTTAAGTATCAGAGTATAAATTCACCCTGACACATCTCCCTGCTATGGCAACTACTGAATATCCCAGATGGGTTCCAGATTAAAGACTACATGGAACAGAGCTCCTAGTCAACCCATAAAAGAGAAATGAAACTTTGGTCTCAAACTACTAAGAATTTGTGATTGTTTGTTACTGCAGTGTATCCTAGCCTTTGCTGACCATTGCAAAAATAAAGCCATTAAACGACAATTCAACAGCTTCACACATGAGAAGATGGCTATTTCAGTCCCAGCAGTACTAGAATGAAACTCTGTAAACTGTGATATTGGGGCAATGATACTTGAACACTCTAAACTAGATAGTAGTATATATTTATTTAAATCATTGTAAAGATTATCTAAAATGTCCATAAAGTGCTTTGTACCTGGCAAATGGTATAAATATAATAATCAATAGGTGGTATTACTGTTTTTCTTTTTTTTTTGGCTGTGCCGTATGGCATGTAGGATCTTAGTTTTGTGACCAGGAATCAAACCCATGCCCCCTACAGTGGAAAAACATAGTCTTAACCACTGGACCACCAGGGAATTCTTGGTAGTATTCCTGTTGTTGTTGTTATCACCAATTAATCCAACTGTAAAAGACCTATTAGAGAATTAATTTTACCCATGTAGTTCTATTATTTGCCGTTACTAAACATCTGAAAAAGAAACACCATACCCCCCTTCCACTAGGTTCCCTTTGATTATCACAATGTATAAAGATCAGTCGCCAAAGCAAGTCACTGATATCTCATACTATGGTCTGAATGTTTGTGTCCCCCTAAACTCATGTGCTGAAATCTTAACCCCCAAGTGTGATGGAATTAGGAGTGGTGAGGTCATCAGGATGGAACCTTCGTGAATGGCATCAGTGCTCTTACAAAAGAGACCCCAGAGAGCTCCCTGGCCCTGGCCACCCCGTGAGGACACAGTGAGAAGTCTGGAACCCAGAAGAGGGCATTCCCTGACTGCTGCTACCCTGACCTAAGACTTCTAGCCTCCTGAACTATGAGAAATACATTTCTGTAATTTTTAAGCCCCACAGTCTGTGGTATTTCGTTATCACAGCTCAAACAGACACTCCACTCTGGGCCCGTGGTTAGAGATCTGAAAAGTCCAGACTCTCAGAGCATGATGGTGGGAACAAAAGGAAAAGCAGTCACTTGCCTCGGCTTCGATCTCATCATACAGGAACTGCTTTTTAAACTTGGTCAGAGCATAGTAGGCGCTGTCGTTGTACAGATCCAAAGGATAGAGGACATACCTGAGGAGGGAAAAACAATGGCAAGTAGCTTACTAACGGTCTCTCTTAAGGCAGGCAGACTTAAACGTGCTCAGGAAACATGCACAGTTGTGTGAACAGATTCAGCGTTGGGAAAAAGAGGCACTTTAAGCGTGCTATGATGTTTCCAGGCTCTACTTAGGAAATGACTTATTTTACAGTCTGCCCACAGAGTTCAAAGCCCATGATGCGAGGCCTGAAAAAAATCAGTCTGGGACTAAAAGCAGTGGGGCATCCATTAAGGACATCAGCGTCCCAATTTTTAGAGATGATCATTTTACCAACACGGTTGGGATGAGGCTGACAAAGCCAGCAAGGGCAGTCAGGCTGGTTGATGTCTGAGCCTTTCTGCAAGGCTGAGTCACATGTGGAGGTGACCTGACACTGGGTGGGACACACTGTGTCATCTGGAAAGTTCTGGAAAGAACAGGGCTCTCTGGCTAGCAAACTGCCCTCCACCAGCACCCTGGGAACCTCCTTGCTGGCCCAACCCTGCCTCTTACTCCATCATGGAAGGTTCTTTGGTTTCCAAGATATGGTCCGTTAGAATCCAGGGCATGGACATCTCGATGGGGAACTGGATTCGTCGGCCCATGGTCAACTCCAGGAAGAATTCTCTGAACCAGAGCTGGGATAGGTCACAACACTGCTGCAGGGCTTCTGGAAGCATGAGGGAAAGAGCCCGGGTTACACATCAGAAGCACTGGAAGATCCTAGTTCTAATTTTTTTACCTCTTATTCTTCTTTCATTGTACTAGGTACAGAGCAGGTACTCAAGAATACGACTCCATTAGTAGACCCTGCTCTCCTGGACCTGAAGGGCAGCCTAACATCTGTTGAGAAGACAGTGTTTGGGGAATTCCTTGGTGGTCCACTGGTTAGGATTTTGCACTTTCACTGCCAAGGGTACAGGTTCAATCCCTAGCTGGAGAACTAGAATCCTGTAAGCTGTGAGGTGTGGCAAAAAAAAAAAGAAGACAGTGTTTGTTCACCCACCAGTGTGGAGGCTGGGAGAGCAGTGATGGTTGAGAGATTTAGATGCCCCTACAGTTTCCATCATGTCTGTACAAAGCCATCCTGAAAACATGACATCTAAGTGTCAGAGTGTCTTTGTTGTTAAGTGTCGAGGTAGATCTACAGGTGTCCACTTCTGACTGGACTGCAGGCCCATGATCCTTGCTAGTGATAATTCTGGATTCCTTACTACTCAGAGGCCTCAAAGTCCCTTTCTAGACTACTCTCTTGAGAGTCCCTTGGACAGCAAGGAGATCTAACCAGTCAGTCTGAAAGGAAATCAACCCTGAATATGCACTGGAAGGACTGATGCTGAAGCTGAAGCCCCAATACTTTGTTCACTTGATGCGAAGAGAGGACTCATTGGAAAAGATCCTGATGCAGGAAAAGATTGAAGGCAGGAGGAGAAGGGGGTGACAGAGGACGAGATGATTGGATGGCATCACCGACTCAGTGGACATGATCTGAACAAATTGCAGGAGATAGTGAAGGACAGGGAAGCCTGGCATGCTGCAGTTCATGGGGTCGTCATGAGTTGGACATGACTGAGTGAACAACAGCAAAGACTGCTCTCTACCTAGAAGATCACCCTTTTCGATACCAACAGACACATCACCCTCTTGGGACCCTTGGATGCTACTCTCCCTTCCCTTCATCCCATCTGCACATGCATTCCATCCACTGGAGAGGTGGAGGGGGGAACAAGGGATGGGGTGCAGCCTGGAAGCCCCCTTTGCTAGGAGCAACAGGCACTAAATCAGTTCAGAGATGCTGTTTAAAAGCAAAAAGCTGACCTGGTCCCTACGTGCATCTGTGTGTGTTACCTGTTTGTGATCCCCCTTTACTAAAGACTTCACAAAAAATTGGCCACAAATATCTCCTAAATTCAACTGACTCACAAGAGCTGGACTGAGCCTGGCCTTTCTAAGAATCCACTGGAAAGTGTGCCTTTTATCTTTGGTGGCAAAACGTGCCCCTTTGGGTCGATGATCCCATGTCTGCAACTTCTGGCCCAACAGCCTGAGCTGCTCTGGTTCCTGGGAGCCCTTCCCCTCCCCATCCCAACAGGATGCTCACCGCTGATGTTGAGCAGGTGCGTGAAGAAGAAGGACTGCTTGTGGAAGTCTTCGATGGCCAGGACGATGGGTCCATCCAGGCTGCTCCGCAGGGTCTTCTTGGAACCGCTTTTGTCTGCGATGAGCGATTCAAGCATGGTCCGCACCATGTACAGCTTGAAAAAGAAAGGAAGATGGGAAGGTCACGGGCTGGCCCTCCATCCAGGGGAAAAGGTTGTTTTGTGTTGTATTTCTAGTCTTTTTTTTTTTCCCTGTAGATATCTGCCCTTAATAAGCACTGTCTTAAGGAAGCACCAGTTTAGGGTTGGAGAAGTAAACTTAGCATGTATAGCCTTCAAGGAGATGGGCCAGCCCTGAAGGATGCCCTGCCTGGGGCCGGGGGCCTCCTGTGGTTACCAGGTCTTTCAAGGCCCAGGTTCTTGCCTGCTCTGCTTGACCAGGGCGTGGGCATCAGAGGAGAACCTCATTCCACGTCACCCTGGAGTCCCTCCCTGCTCTTCTGGACAGCCATGTGGCCCCAGGTTTGGAGCGCTGGACTCACAGTCAAAAGCCGGAGCTTTAGGGCCACGCGCTGCCACTGGCTTGCTGTGTGACCTTGGGCACAAAGTCCCACTCTGGGCCTCAGTTTTCTTATCTGCCAACACGAGGAGGTTGTACCAGATGCTTTCTCCAACCAGTCCCTTTCAGTTCTAACATTCGGAGGAACCGTGAAACGCGGCAGGATCAGAGCGAGCCCCCCACCACCTCACGTTTCCAATCCTGAATACCGAGGGGCCGCGGCGCTGCACCCTCCGGGGGCGCCAGCAGCATGGCACGGCCGAAGTGCTGGGTGGAAAGCAGGTGAAGGTCAGTACTTACAGGAGGTCTACTAGACAATTAACTCCTGCTTACAGAGGGCCTTAAGTGCAAAGGGCGCAAGGGCTAATCTAGATAATTCCACACCATGTGTCTTTGAATCTTAGGGCTGGAAGGGGCCGTGAGGAGCCAGGCTAGTCCATTCCTGCTGCCTCCTGGAGAAGTGTACCCAACCAACCCAGCCAGGCGGTGTTATACCAAGGATCGGCAGCCTCTTCGGCCCTGTGTGCCACCAGTGGGGTGAAACAAAGCCCGCGGGGACCACTGGCAGGCCTAAGACATAGATGGGAGAGAGGAGGAGGGAATGGGAGGGCAGGAGAGACAGGGAAGAGGGAGAGAGAAGAGAGAGAGAGAGAGAGAGAAAAGCAAGAGGTATTGTATACGGTGGGAAAGCCGCCACGACTGCTAGAGGCCACCTGCCGACCACCTCTGAGACACTCCAACCTCCCTCTGCCACCACGTCCATCCTCTGGTCTTCTCTAGCACCTCACCCACCGAGCGCCTGGCCTGGGCTGGGCTGGGCAGCGTGGCCACGGAGAGGAGCGGCACACCACCCCGGGCACAGCACCCGCCTTTGTGGTAAAGGAACCATGGAGCTGTGGGTCATCAGATGGTCCACCCTCTGCAACCCTGTCGGTGGGCACGGCTGACCGTCCCTAAGACTCGAGAGGCCCTGTTCTCACGATGGCCTTTGGAGTCCTCCAAGAAAAGATTCTTTCATCTGGTCTGTGCAGATGCTGGCCGATTTGTATTGGATTCTAACTACCTGAAATCCAAGAGGGGGAAACACTTTCCCCGCCTACTTTTATTAAGCAGAGCATTTAATTCACCGGAACAGTCACCTCCCAGCTCTGCTAGATGCCACATCTACTGTGCTCCTAGGGCCCTGACAGAGCCCCGGGGTGGGAGTCAGGAGACCTGGTTCTCGTCCCACCTCCACCTAGACTCACCTTGTGACTTGGACAAGTCACGTTCCCTCTCTGGACCTCAGTTTCCCCATCTGCAAAATGGGGGGAGCAACTAGTTTGGGACTAGTGTGTTTCTAAAGGCTATTCCAAGCGGAGCATCCAGGAGTCCATCAGGTGTGTCCTCGCCACCCTACCAGAGCCTGGGAGCATTGGTAGGGGCCTGTTGGTGACACTTCGTCTCACATCACACAAGCACTTCTTTCTTCCTCCCTGTCCCCCACTGCCCTCTCATTCTCTGCCTCTTGGCCCCTCTCTGCTACTTTTCCATTCTCTCTTTTGCCTTGCCCAGAAGAAGCACCCAGAAGCCCTGCTCAGCCCCTCCAGGCCGTTCTGGACTGGAAAGGTCTCTGGACCCTGACATATACACAGAACTGTTTGCAGAAGCTTCCTTGAGAAGTTTCACGTCTCTCAAGCAGGCAGGATAAGTGCAAGGGGCCTGCTGGCTGAGGGAAGCTGCAATGACAGCGCTGTGATCCCAGCTCACCCTGGTCCCACCTCCCTGCCCCATCCCCGTACCCAGACACAGACACACACACAGTGAAAAGGGTCAGGGTGAGCCTTAGATGGCTCATCTCAGGTGATTCAAGGACTCAGGACTTCAGGGATAAGACATAAGGGTTATGTGAAGCCAGAGCTCCCAGCCTGGGGCTTGTGGGCCCTGTTAGACTTTTAAAAGCTGTAATGGGTCCATTAGCCTTTTCTCAGTACCTCAAAAAGCCTACCAGAAACTATTTATCCTTAAGTAGGTGGCAAGGATTTAACTAAGGTGCCTAGGTTCTTTACTTTTTTTTTCCCCTATAATATTACAACTACTTTGGATAAGCTACAGACAACCTCTTGTTCAAAAAGCTCTGGTTAGCAACTCTGAGTATCTCTGATCATTAGACTTTCTCTAAGGGGTTAAAGACTTTCAATTTGTGATTTGGGGTGTGTTCAGAGAATAGCAAAAGGGATGTTTAGTCAGTAACATGATCTTATCCAAAGTTTTCATTTAACAGAGAAGATAATCAGAGCTCAGAGAGGTCAAGGCACTTGCCCAAGAACACACAGCAAGTCAGAGGCAGAAATTTGGGAATTTCTAAGCTAGGATGTCACTACAAGGGAAGGAAGAGGGGAGGTCAGGATTCATTAAAAAGGGACAAGAGAGATGCATACAGGTTCCACGTTAAACACCTCTATACTTTGGAACCTGTACTTCACTGGGCTAGGAGAGCCAGTTTTGGTATTACCCCCTTTTGCCAGATTAGACAACTGAGGCACAAAGAGATAGTATAACGTGCCCGAGGTCACACAGGTACGTAGGACTAGAACCCAGGTCTCCTGAATCTTATGCTAGTGGTCCTCCCTCTTACATCAAAACAACACAGAAAAAGACGAGAACAGCTGCTTGGCCCTGCCCCTCTTGCCTGAGGACTCCCGACCCCACTGCCCCACGGTCCAGCCAGGATGACCTACCGTAGCCTGGCTGGCCTTTGAGTCAGCAGACTGGCCTGTGCCTGGAGCCGCTTACCTGTGTGCTGGAGGGACCCACGGCTCGCCGCGGCACCTTGATGTCAAATCCACCCTTGGGGTCCTTCTCCCCTTTCAAGCATGGGTCATTGGGGGGCTCACGGCCCCCCTCCCAGTCACAGATGGTTTTCCGAATCGCCTGTAGAACGCTGGGGAAGGAAGGACCAGGATTCAGAACATCAGGAGGTGCTGCAAGCTTGGATCCAGAGTCCACAGTGTCCAGGATCACGTGCCTTAGAGCTCCTGACATGCCTGTGAACCATGCTCATGCCAGGGCCCCTCCCCCAGGGATGCTGGCTTCACAGATCCGAGGTGCAGTACGGAAGTCTGTATTTCACAAGTGCCCCAGCGATCCTGATGCCCACCAGCTGTCTGAGAACTCGACTCAGAGCCCATAGAGTGGGAGAGAAGCTGAGTGAAGCAGGATGGCTGTTCTTCTTTTTGCTTATAGAACAGTTTCATTAGTCCTATTTCAATCTCGGCATATTTAAAACTTTAATAATAGCTTCTATGTGTTGCATACTCGCTCCATGCTGTGGAGTGCTTAGGTTTATACGTGAATTCTCTCACTGCATTATCCCAAAAGCCTATTGAGTAGGTATCGTTCTTACCCATGTTTTACAAATGAAAGAAACAGAGGTTCAGAGAAGGTAAGTAACTAAGTTCACACAGCTATACAGTGTGGATATGGGCTTCAAACTTAAGAGATGGGGACATAAATTATCCCAAATTTCCAATCTTCTAAAAGAGCCTCTTAGAACTTGTTGGAACTCATTGGAAGGGTCTGTGTGTTCAGACACTTCCCTGGAAGCTGACTGAGCCAGGAACATCCTCTGTGGCCTGCACCCAGCACCCCTGATTTTGGACATGGCCCTAAAAAAGGCCATCTGAAGACCCACCTGATGAGGACATTCTTCTTCTTCCGTACTGCCTGCCTGAGGGGCTCGCGCAGGGTCACCTGGGCAAAGTCCTGCAGGGCTGCGTAGATGGTGTTCCTGATGGCCTGGTTGAAGACGCTCTCCATCCTGCCCATGAGCACCTGCAGGCCTTTGATCATGGCGATCACCTGGCCAGGCACAGATCAAGGTGAGCTCACCGGCCTCAGGACACCCATCCACCCAGTACCCTCGGCATGTCTCAGGGAGGGTGCTGGCAGAGACTTCCAGAAGCATGAGGCCCACCAGCAATGCTGAGAGTGCCTGCTCACAGATGGGTGGAAATGTGTACAGAAAAGAAGTCAGCACTCTGCTCCCCTCTCAAGAAAGTCCTGCTACAAAGCCAAGATGTCAGCCACACAGCCTGTACTTCACCATCGGCGAATTTTTATCCTGGCACTGGCTCCTGGTCTCGCTGCTGACTAGTGACAATCGGCAGCCAGTCCATGTACCATGTTTTGAGCAGCACTCTGACTTTTAGAGGCCTCTCCACGTACCACATATCCACAGACAGTAACAAATATAACTCTTTTTTTTTTAACCATAAAATTTTCTACGGAATTTCCACAACCTTTGCTTTTGAAATAATTTGGCCAGCTGCAGCTTGAACCCATAAAGTAGGATTCCTGTAGAAATCTTGGAGACAAAGTACTCTACCCTTCCAGATGCCTCCTCACTAGCCCCTTAGCTCACTGATCTGTCTGCAGAGGTGGAGAGCCAGCTGACTGTAATGTGTACATCGTCACTGTGACCTTGCCACTCACTTGGGATCTGTCTGCCTGTGGGGTATGTCCTCCCCTCTGGGTGCCTGTCCTGTCCTTGCAATAATCATCCCCGTTCCAGCCCAAGGAAGGGATGTGGATATTTATGCAGCTGCTCTGCCTGTTTCCCAGTGGGAAGTTTCATAGAATGGGGGAGGAACAGGAAGCTCGGTGTGGCCTTGAGTAAAGCCACATTCTCTAGTCTAGCTTTACCAAACCTGAGCATTCGGCCCCATCAGCCTCAGTGCTAACTTCTAGATTGGCTCAGAATTCAGAAGGGGAAAGCCTTGCCAAATGCGCCTCCTGACAGCTGCCACACTCGCCACACCCATCCTGATGTATTCGATTTCCTCCCTCTGCGCCAGACTAAGCACTGCAGGGGTGAGGCTCCGCAGGCTGTGTAAGCCCCATCCCAGGGCTTGGGTCCCTAAGGCCCTTAAGCGAGTTCTGTTGAAAACGTAATGAATACATGAATGAATGTGCTTTGATGCTAAGACTTTATCTTCTTTTAAAGTGCAAAGGAAGAAACAGAATATTTGCGGCAGGAGAAATGTTGAGAACAGACCAGAAGGGAAGGAGTTACACTAGAACCAACAGCAGTGGTTTTGCTGAAGAGAACCTTTATAGTGCAGAAATAATGAGAGAGAAGCTCTAAAAGACTGTGAGGTCATAAAAGAATCTAGGCTTCCGACTGGCAATGAAACTAGAGAATAGAGACAAAGGAAGGACAGGATAATGAAGATGTTTCAGAATAATTTCAAACACAGAAGAGTATGCAGATCTGTTAGACCCAAGGGAAAATCTTTGCAACTCTGGGCTAGGCAGAGATTTCTTAGCTGGAACACAAAAAATTACAAACCATGGAATGATAGGTAAGTTGGGTTTTGTTAAAATTAAAGACAGTTGCTCTTTAAAAGGCAATCCTAAGAAAATGAAAATTCAAAGTCACCAATTAGAAAAAATATTTGCATTTTATATAAATTTTATATAAAATGGTATACTTGCTTCAGGACACTGTTCAGCAGTTTCTTAAAAAGTTAAACATACCTCCAATATGACCATTTCAAGAGAAGTGAAAACCTGTGTCCAAACAAAGACTTACACTCAAATATTTAAAGCAATTTTAGTTACATTGACCCAAAGCTGAAAATGGTCCAATGTTTATCAATAGTTGAATAGATACAAAAATTATAGAATAGCCACACAATGGAAAAATACTCAGCAATGAAAAGGCACAAACTACTGATACACAAAACAATGTGAATGAATGTGAATGTGAATGAATCTCAAAATTCTTACACTGAGTAAAAAAAAAGCCACACACACAAAATACATTCTGTATAATTCCAGTTATATAAAATTCTAGAAAATGCAAACAAATCTATGATGACAAAAAATATGACTAGGGCCANCCGGGATGGGGAATACATGTAAATCCATGGCTAATTCATTTCAATGTATGACAAAAACCACTGCAATGATGTAAAGTAATTAGCCTCCAACTAATAAAAATAAATGGAAAAAAAAATAAATTAAAAAAAAAAGTACTAACAGAGTTGAAAACTGAATTTAAGGAACTATCCTATAAAGCAGAACAAAAATAAGTGATGTGCAGTAAGAGAGAAAAGATAGGGAAACTAGACACTAAATCCTGGGTGTCCAACATCTGCCAGGTAGAAAACCCAGAAAGACAGGACAGAGAAAACAGAGGAGAAATTACCAAAATTAAAATTCAAGAAAATCTCCCAGATCTACAGAACATGTATTTCCATACAGCAATGGCTCTAAACAGGCCACTGTCCCAAAGAATACAAAAGGCCCTCATCACGATGCCTCACAGTGAAACTTTAGAAAAATAGTGATAAAGAGATGAGACCACAAAGTTCTACAGAGGAAAAAATAAGAATAAAGTTTGACTCACAATTCTTGATTTCAAAACTTATTACAAAGCTATACTAATCAAAATGGTGTGGTATTGGCATATATGGGTTTTTCTGATCACTCAGATGGTAAAGAATCTGTCTGCAAGGAGACCTGGGTTCAATCCCTGGATCGGGAAGATTCCCAGGAGAAGGAATGGCAACCCACTCCAGTACTCTTGCCCAAAGAGTCCCATGGACAGAGCCTGGCAGGCTACAGTCCACAGGGGTCACAAAAGAGTCACACATGACTGAGCAATTGGCATATATATAAATGGAAGAGAACTGAAAGCCCAGAAATAATCCCGTACATTTATAGTCAATTGACTTTTGACAAGGGCACCAAGACAATCCAATGGAGAAAGAATACTCTTTCCAGCAACTGGTGCTTGGACAACTGGACATCCACATGCAAAGAATGAACTTGGACCCTTACACAATATACAGAAATTAACTCAGAATAAATCAGAGACCTAAATGTAAGAATTGAACCTATAAAAATCTCAGAAGAAAAATAGAAGTAAATCTTTGAGATCTTGGATTAGGCAATGGTTTCTTAAATCTGACACCAAAAGCATAAGTGACAAAAGAAAAAAATAAATTGAACTTCATCAAAATAAAAAAACTTTTGTACTTCAAAGGATTCCAACTAGAAAGTAAAAAGACAATCCATGGAATTGAGGAAAATTTCTTTTCAAATTATATGTCTGATAAGGGGCTTGTATCCAGAATATATAAAAATTATTTTTTTGGATGCTTTTATATTGATATAATTTTCAAGATATCATTTCTGGAAAACAAGATGCAACATAAATTTTTTTCCTCTTTTTCATTTTGGCTCAGATATTCAGTTTCAATTTGGAAAACAGGCCCTGTTTTCCTGGAAATCATGGTGGATTAACAGGATTTTCTGATACAGAATATATGAAAACTCCCATGTCTCAAAAATAAAAAGACAAATAACCCAAACAAAATGGGTAAAGAATCTGAACAAATAGTTCTCCAAAGAAGCTATATAGATGGCCAATAAGCACATGGTAAGATGCTCAATATCATTAGTTATTAGGGATACGCAAATCACAACCACAATGAGACATGACTTCACACCAGTTAGGATAGCTAAAATAAAAAAGACAATAAGTGGGGCTTCCCTGGTAACTCAGTTGTAAAGAATCTGCCTGCCAATGTAGGAGACACAGGTTTGATCCCTGGTCAGGGAAGATCCCACATACCGAGGAGTAACTAAGCCTGTGCCTCCAAACTATTGAGCCTGTGCTTGAGAGCCTAGAACTGCAACTACTGAGGCTATGAGCCACAGCTACTGAAGCCCTCCTGCCCTAGGGCCCGTGCTCCACAGCAAGAGAAGCCAGTGCAGTGAGAAGTCTGTGCACCACAACTAGTGCATCGCCCTCACTTGCTGCAACTAGAGAAAAACCCTTGCAGTGATGAAGCCACAAGGGAAGCCCCAGGATACTGGAGTGGATAGCCTGTCCCTTCTCCAGGGGATCTTCCTGACCCAGGAATCAATCTGGGGTCTTCAGCACTCCAGGCGATTCTTAACCAGCTGAGCTACCAGGGAAGCCCTGATGAAGACCCAGCACAGTCAAAAATAAATATATAAATAAAATTATAAAAAATTCTTTAAAAGTTCAGGTTCTTTGGTTCAAAGTACAAATTTATTTTTTAAAAAAGACAGGAAGTGATGACAAGGATATGACTTACATATCCAGGGATCAAACCCAATATAAATTACAACTCCCACATACTGCTGGTGAAAATGTAAAATGATCCAGCTGCTTTGGAAAACAGTTTGGCATTTTCTCAAATTTTTAAACAAAGAGTTACCACATGATCCAGTAATTCTGCTTCTAGGTATAGATCCAAGAAAATGAAACATATTTCAACACAAGTACTTGTACATGAATGTATGCATCAGCGTTATTCATAATAGTCTAAAAGCTGAAACAACGAAAACAGTAGCTGTCACTCATAATCCAGTATGAACGTGCCTTTTCACTCCCATAGACTATCTTTCAGTAATCAAACAAAAAACCAAATCATATAGTCTAAGGTAGGAAGTCAGAATCCTGTCTCCAGAAATGACTGTTAATGGTTTGGTATATATAAATACACATACTTATGTCCTTCCATTTTGAGCAAATGTGCAGAATTTTTTTATTTTGGGCGGAATTGGCTTCTTTTTCCTTGTTGTTTTTTATCTTTTTTTTTTTAAACTTAATATTCTGTGTATATCTTTTCATATCAGCACATCCATTTTAGTGGCTGCATCATATTTAATGATACAGCTGCACCTTCATTTACTTTATCTGATCCATATTGTAGGACATTTCAGTTGTTTCACATATTATGCCATTATAAACAATATGGTGATAAATGTGTACATGTGTATTGATTGGCACAGTTGGCTTATTTCTGAGATATATTCCCCAGAAGAACTTCTGGGCAAATGATATGCACGTTAAAAATCTGAATACAAGCGGTCTGAAGGGAGGGAAAAAAAAAAATCTGAATACAGATGATCAGATTGCCCTCAGAGAAAGCCTGTAAAATGCACACTTGCCACTCAAAGTATCTGAGAAGATCTATATCCCACTTTAACCAGCAACGGACATCGCCAGTCTTCTAGATCTTTACCATCCTGACTGATCAACACTCTGTATCTTAGCTTCAATCTGTAGTTCTCTGACCTCTCATCAGTCTGGGCATTTCTCATATCTTGTCTGGCCATGTGTCTCTTCTGTTGTTTCCAACAGAGTGACACTTTCTTTGGGAATTTTTAAGACCAGAATGGCTTTCTCACCATTTCTGAATAACAACGTGGGACAGAAATGAATTCGGGTGGGCGGAGGGGCGAGCAGATGCATGCACACGAGGACCAGGGCTGCCGGCCAGCCCAGCACCCCTCCAGGAAGCCCTGTGGCCGACACTCAGCAGCAACCTGGCGGGTGGGGGACAAGGAGACCCAGGGAGTCCGCACCCACCTCGACGAAGGCGAACTTCTCCTCACTGGTGTAGTTGTAGCGCGTGGCTCGCTCGTACTCCTCGGCCGTGCCCGGGCAGTCCTTGTTGCAGAACTTGTCCGTGGGGTGAACCAGCTTCCAGGAGTACTGGGGAGAGAGCGGAGACCCGGAGTCCATCAGTGGGTGAGCGGATCAACTAAACCGGGAGAGTCCACGCAATGGAGCAGCACTCAGGCAAGAAAGGAAACGAAGCATTTATCTGTGCAACAATGGATGGACCTTGATCACATGCAGTTGAAGCCAGACACAAATAACCGTGTATGATGATTCTATTCATAGGAAACACCCCCAAAATAGGGAAATCTACAGAGACAGAAGGAGATGGTTTAAGGCTGTAGAGACAGGGAACAGGGCCTGATTGTACCAGGTGAGGGTTAGGTTGTTCTGAATTTGACTGCAGCTTCATAGCACTGGAAATATACTAAAAATTAATGGATTTATGTTTTAAATTGGTGAATGGTGTGGTATGTGAATTCTCTCTCAATAAACCTGTTTAAAAGTGTTGGAGAGAGGCAGGGGCAGACAAATTCCAAGAGACCAGGTCAGAGTGGAGGGGGCTGGGGAGGGGCAGACCCTCTTCCCTGGGACACCTACCACCTCCATGACGTGGGCGCTCCACTTGGACAAGAGCTGCAGGCCCCGCAAGGCCAGGTCAAAGAGCTCGCGGTACTCCTCGTCTGACTTCTGGCTGTCCAGCCCGGAGCCCGTCACCACCTGAGGAACACTGACCATCACCTTCACTGCCAACGAACCTGGCACTTTTCCATTGTATTTCACTGATCCCCCCACCCCCAAGAATATTGCAAGGGAGGTGCTATTATTATACCTCTTGACCGATAAACTGAAGCTCAGACAAGTCCCTTGTTGGTCACATGGCTTGCAAATGACTGAGGGTTCAAACTCAGGTGCTATGATGCCAGAGCCCCACTCACAATGACCCCGGTCAATTGCAGAGCAGTGGCTTTTCAGACTTTTGGGTCTGTGATTTACAGTAGGAAGTGTATACTATATACTGACTGAGGTATTCAATACAGACACGAAATAACATTTTCCACAAAGAAGCTGTGTGCTTAATACTTGAGACCTACTCTGATTGCCCATTGTCTCATACCAAAATGCTAATCAGAGATCAATGGCAACCCACTCCAGTGTTCTTGCCTGGAAGATCCCATGGACAGAGGAGCCTGATAGGCTATAGTCAGTCCATGGGGTCGCAAAGAGTCGGACACGGCTGAGCGACTTCACTTTCTTTCACTTAGTTGACTTTACAACCAATTACAAATGACTCATTGACTGAAAAGCATTGGTGAAGACAAACATCTATTTGAACATGTAATATGTTCCACAGTAAAATATAATATGCATGTATGCATGTGCATATGCACAGACATGTGTATATATGTGTGTGTATACATATACATACTGAGCCAGTCCTCATCATTATTTGTGGGTTCTGAATTTGTGAATTTCCCTACTTACTAAAATTTATTTACTGCCTCAAGATCAATCCTTGCAGTGCTTTCATGGTCATTTGCAGATGTGTGCAGAGTGGCAAAAACATCTGAATCATGTTCCCAGCTGAGGCTGAACAACACAACTCTCTGCCCTCTGTTTCAGCTCTTACTGTAAACAAGTGTCTCTTTCCTGATCTACTTAATGCCTCATTTTCCACTTTCTTATACTTTTTACTGGTGATTTCACTATTTAAAATGGCCCCTAAACACAGTGCTGACTCTCTGTCTATGCCTCTGTAAAAAAGGAGGCTGTGATGCGCTTTATGGAGAAAATATGTATTTTATTTTTTAAATATTTATTTATTTGCTTGGCTTCACCAGGTCTTGGTTGTGGCATGCAAAGTCTTAGTTGTGGTACGTGGGATCTAGTTCCCTGATCAGGGACTGAACTCAGGCCCCCTGCATTGAGAGTGTGGAGCCTTAGCCACTGTACCACCAGGGAAGTCCTGAAAATAGGTGTTTTAGATAAACTTTGTTCAGGCATGAATTATAGTGCTGTTGGGTATGATTTAATGTTAACAAATCAACAATATATATTACATAAGGTGACTTTAAACAGAATCACATGTAAAACAAGGCTATATATTAAAAATCAGCTGACAGAAACACTGTAATCAGAGGCTCACAGAAACCTAACCCTGTATTTTCTGGAGGAGCGATTACTTGCTGATTCAGTGTTGATGGCCACTTTATAGAATATAACTGTTGTGAATACTGAGAATGATCTGTATATATACACGTATAATGTGTATAATTTTAAAAATACCTTTGAGCCAGACTCATTCTTGAAAGAAAGAAAGAAAGTGAAAGTGAAGTTGCTCAGTCGTGTCCGAGTCTCTTCGACCCGTGGACTGGTAGCCTACCAGGTTCCTCCATCCATGGGATTCTCCAGGCAAGAATACTGGAGTGGATTGCCATTAGATCACACCAAAACTGGACAAGAATTGAATGGTGTCCCTAGCACTTGAATTATTCCCATAGCTTAGCTTATGTTCAATTCACTGGCATATACAGTTAAGAAAGCCAAAGGTTTGGGCTTGACCCTGGTCCATGTCCACCAGGAGCCCTGCTAAGAATGTGGGCCACTCATCTAATGACCATACTGCTTGCATTTGGTCTCATTTCAGATGAGACATTTTGATCAGACATTTCCCTACTTTGGGTTTCGGAAAGAGTAATTACAGCTACTAGCCACATGGTGGAGGCAGTGAGCATAAATGGAGTAGTGCAAAGTCATCCTGGAGCTTCAAAAGGTAAAACAGGGAATGAAATCAGACCTGTATTTATTAAACCAACATATATATTCATCACAAGGTCTTCATAGAAAGAAATATAGAAGGATATATGAAAGTGAAAGTTTCTCAGTTGTGTACAACTCTTTGTGACCTCATGGACTATCTCTAGGCCAGAATACTGGAGTGGGTAGCCTTTTCCTTCTCCAGGGGATCTTGCCAATCCAGGGATCGAACCCAGGTCTCCTATATTGCAGGCAGATTCTTTACCAGCTGAGCCACAAGGGAAGCCCAAGAACACTGGAGTGGGTAGCCTGTTCCTTCTCCAGCGGATCTTCCAGACCCAGGAATTGAACCATCAGGGAAGCCACAAAGGATAATATATATATACCTCCAAATGTTAATAATAGTGGGTTCTTGATGGTAGCATTTACATGACTGTTTTTCCCTTCTTTTGTCTATCTGTATTTTTTCTGAGGCTTGTGCACTAATTGTGTTTCCCTATTTAAAAAAGAAGAACAGGAAAATCCAGTGCCAGTAAAAATGTAATTAGAAAGATCACAAGAGATTTTTACGACCTTCTTCTGTTCCTAATTGTATTTTCTGGCTTATTACAATGATTTTTATAATTGTTTTAAAATATTTAGATGGTGTTATGAGCATGATTGTCCAGAACTTTGTTTCTCTTGCCACCCACGGTGGAGGTGTTTAGATCATGTACAGATTAACAATTACTGGGCTGTTACTACCTGCTAGGTGCAATGCATTTTCCATACATCATATTGTTTAATCCTCTCAATGAACTTTTCCAGATACTATTAGCTCCATTTTGCAGATGAGGAAACTGAGGCTCAGGGATGCTGAATAACTTGTGAAGGTCAGAAGCAGAACCAGAATCAATTCCAGCTCTGGCTCTTGGCCATTCTGCCCTCCTGCATCCAAATGTATTCTCTCGCTCATCCACTCCCCAGGATCCCTAGGATCATTTCTTTTCTGGAGGTCCTCACCCCTTCTCACCCTAGTCCCACATGGGCCTCCATCCCACCAGCCAGAGCAAGCTCACCTCACTGTTGCTGTAGCGAGCGAGTTCCGAGATGAAGCGGATGTGGTCATCGCGGATCTGAACCATCTGCTCGCAGATATTGTACTGGGGGCTGATGCTGCTCTGGGTGCACGTCCACCTGGGCAGAAAATCAGGGGGTCAGAGTGGCTCCTGGCCCTGGGAGGGGCAGGCTCCTTCCATCCACTAGTTAGTCTTGGTGCTCAGCTAATGTGACTGGCTCCACTGGGAACAACCAAGAGGTGTCCTACCCACCAGCAACAGTGCCTGCTAAGTTCCACTGTAGGGACTGCAGGCTGCATGGAAAATACTTTGCTTCTCCTACTTGGAGCTGGCCTCTTCTAAGGGCCAATCCCACACTTTCCCAGGTAACGGGAGTCCACAGTACTTACCAGTCACACGAGCGGGGAGGGACTTGCAGCCTCTCTAGGGCTACAAAGGGCTGGAATCCAAGCTAAGAAAAAGCAAGGTGGGTGACCTCCTGGATCTGTCAACTGACCCTGGCAGCACTATGTTGTGTGGGTGAAGCTGGCATTGACAAAGGCCTTTGGGCGGGACTGGAAAAATCTAAAGGGGTTGTGTCTGTTTTTCAACAGCAAGCCGGGAACAGGGAAGCTCTTCACCGAGAGGAAGCCGCAGCCATCCTGAGAGGCACTGCTCTTTCTTGCCCTCATCTTCTCCCTCTCTCTCTCCTCTTTCTCCTCAACACTTCCCTCAATTTTTAAAAAAGAGATCTTTGAGAAAACACCTTAAATTGGGGAAATGAATGAATGAGAGTCTTTATTCTCCTTTGCCAACAGAACAAAAGACAACCCTGGTCACTGTCCTCTGCCATCTGGTGGGTGCCGGGTGACCCAGTGAACAGAAGCATGGGCACCAAGCAAGGCAGATGCACATTTAGGGAAAATTTAATATTTCAGAAGGACCTCTGAAAGGGCGCTCCAGAGAATACTGAGAAGGCGAACACTACCTCATGCCTTATACTTTGACATGACCTTTATTCTGAGTTCCCTGTGCAGGGTTGGGGACACATCACTCAAGCCTTTGACCCCCACCCTGAGCACATCACCACTCCAACCAACTTCAGGTGGCTAAGAATTCACACAGGAAATAAGTCCAGGATTCAGGACTCCACGCTTTTCCTGGAAGACCTCCTCACATACCAGCAGCCACTGGGTTACGAAGCTGTCCCTGGTGAGACTCATGTGCAGTGGCTCAAAGCTGGTGGAGTTCAAGGACTCTGCATTTATGTATTTTTGAGGCCGTAATACCCTCATCCCTGATGAAAACATGGTTTGTCCCCCTCTGTTGGAAATGTAGGCAGAAGAAGCCTTCTTAACAAGGCCAGAGATCAAAGGGGTAGCCAAGCCTGTAGCCCAGTGTTCCCCAAACTTCCATGAGGTGCTGACACCCCGGATCTTAGCACAGATCACCTAGAGGGTGGTTTATAAAACAACCTTGGAGGAGGCCATTGACCCAACGCTTCACAGCTGGAACTGTTGGTACCATACCCTGCACGGCATACTTACTGCATGGACACAAGACCTGAGAAGAGAACCAGTGGGATGAAGAACAAGGCCATCTCGCTCCATCTGACCACGGGGGCCAGCACTCCTCCCCCTGCTCGGGGGCAGGAGGACTCCTGCTGTCCCCCTGCAGGTGGCATGGGCCACCGCGGGGGGGAGAAGGGGCGGGGCTGTGCCCTGAGTGCTTTTGAACCCTGGCAGCAAAGGGAGGGTGCAAAAGGGCTCAGATCACCATCCGCTGCTCCCCTCTGTCAGGAGCCAGTGATGGACAGACTCCACCTGCCCAGGGTCTGGGAAGAGGGGAGGGGCTGAAATGGCCCCTCGGCCCCCTGCCCGGGCTGGGCGTCCTCGCGGGAGCCGAGAGACATTACGGCAGGCACTCACTTGGACTTGTTCTCTTCATAGTGAGCACTGGTCTTAATGTATCTGGCCAGCTCTATCTGCATGTCGCCGAAAAGGGGCACCACCTGCAGCTGCTGCAAAGGAAGCAAACACAGCTTGTGAGACACGGAGGGAGGGACCGGCATTGCCTTCCACTGGGAGAGCCAGGCCTCCGTGTGTGCCTCTGGGCTGACCCCTAGTTCTGCCTCCGATGATGCTACCATGTGACCCTGGGACCACAAAGAGCCTTAGCCAGCCTACAGATCCTCCTCTGCCTCCAACCATCTCTATGTTCCAGCATCTGAGCCCAGAGTGGCAAAGAGACTTGTCCAAGGTTACCTAGCAGGCAGAACAGATGAAGAACGAGAACCAGATGGCCTGCCTCCCGGGGCAGGGTCTTCTCTGCTCTAATTTCCCTTGCATTAAAGGCTCCTAGCTATTTCAAACTCTGGACTAGATGTGAGTGCCTGGATTCCTCTGGCTGGGAGTGAGTGACCTTCTTGAGAAACTCCACAAGGTGAGTTGAAACCTTGAACACCTAACACCAGAGGGCAGACTGCCATCCAAAGAGGAGGACTAATGGTGGGGAGGCTGGTATTCACTGTCTGCTTTTGATTCATGAGGCACTACAGTGCTAAATCCTTCAAAAACAGAGGACTTTTAGGGCAGTGAAACTATTCTGTATGATACTACAATGGTAGATGTAGGGGCTTCCCTGGTGGATCAGCAGTAAAGAAACCTCCTGCCAATGCAGGAGACACTGGAGACCTGGGTTCCATCCCCAGGTCAGGAAGATACCCTGGAGGAGGGCATGGCAACCCACTCCAGTATTCTTGCCTGGAGAATCCCAGGGATAGTGGAGCCGGGTGGACTACAGTCCATGGGGTCACAAAGAGTCAGACAAAACTTAGCAACAAAGTACAACAACAATGGTAGATATAGTCATTATATATTTGTCAAAACTTACAGAATGCACAATGCCATGAGTTATCCCTACTGCACACTATGGGATTTGGGTGATAATGATCTGTCAACAGTGCAGATTTATGGACTAAACAGATGTCCCTCTCTGCTGGTGAGTTGTGATAACAGGGGAGGTTGGGTATGAGTAGGGATAGGAGTTATGTGGGAAATGTCTGTTTGTTCTGCTCAATTTTGCTATGAGCCTAAAACTGCTCTAAAAAATAGTCTATTAGGCAAAACAGAAAATAGTTATCTCACTCCATAGAATAGTGGAGTGAGGTCAGTACTACTATTATTCTCGTTTAACAAGATGGACAAATTGAAGCTTTGACAACTCAGCTAGAGTGATTTTTTTTTTCTTTTCACAAAGTCAGATAGCTAGAAGCCAAGGGGCCAGGATTATAACCCAGGGTTCTGACACCTATGTCGCTCATTGAATCCTCAAGGGAACACCATAAAGTAGACACCCTTCACATTCCTATTTTTCAGGTTAGAGAACTCAGTTTCAGGGAAGTTCTGTGACTTTTTCAACATCACCCAGTTATGTAGTGGAAGAGAGAGACTAAAACCCAGGTCTGTGTGAGGTGAGACTGTGGTCTTCAATTCCACCCCCATCTCATTTACGTGGATCTAAGGAAGGGGTGGACTTTGCCAGTTCCCCCCAGATAAGCCCAGTTTTCATTTTGGGCAGTCCTAGAGAAAAGTGAAAGTTCTAGCTTCAAAAAGAAGCCAAGCCAAGCCTTAGGATGCTTTTGGTGACTTGTGCATCTGTGCTAAGTCACTCAGTTGTGTCTGACTCTTTGCGACCCCGTGGACTGTAGCTCACCAGGATCCTCTGTCCATGGGATTCTCCAGGCAAGAATACTGGAGTGGGTTGCTATGACCTCCTCCAGGGGATCTTCCCTGTCCAGGGATCAAACCAGCGCCGCTTACATCTCCTGCATTGGCAGGCGAGTTCTTTACCACTAACACCATCTGGGAAGCCCCTTGGGTGACTTACTTCCCCCCTAACCTCCAAGAGTCAGTGAGACCCAGGCCCAGCCACATCTTCAAAGGGATCCACTTTTAATTTAAGCCTGATTTCCCCATGTCTGATGTCAGAGGCTCTATTCCACCTGAAGTGCCTGATGCTAGGATACACTGATGACATGGAACTGACTTCCAAAGTAGAAAATCCCTTTGCAAAATCCTCAAAGGCAAACCTCAAGGTTTGTTGTTAAAGCTTTGGGGCCAGAAGATGAAATCTCTGAGGCACTAGAATGGACTGAGAGCAGGCTAGACCCCATAAGGCATTCTACCCAGAGGCAGGGCGCAGAGTAGGCCTCTGGTGGACCAGGAGGGTCTGTGAGCTTGTGAATGTGAATCAATGTAACGTCCAGTCTTTAATCCTCCTGCAATTGTGAGCTCTGATTTATTAAAGCAGGCTCTGTCTTCTGGGACATACCTCATTCTTTAGATGGCAAGGGGTTTCAGGAAAGGGTAAAAGCAGTGTGTGGAAAGCATTGCAAGGCCTTCTGGCTGTGTCCTGAGACTGGGGCACACACCTTCAATAGCGTGGATTCCTCTACCCAAGGCAGCTAGGGTCCCTGTCTCTATCCTCCTCCTCCTCTTGGGATCCTCAGAGCCACAGTTCAATCAATAAGCACCACTCTTTGCTGCCTAATTTCATTCCTTTCCCCCGAGAGACCATCCCCGAGCCCACGGCCCAGCCCCAGCCCCAGGTGCTGACCTTAAAGAACTTATCAATTTTGCTGAGGTTGATTCTCTTCTTGGCATCCAATTTGTAAATGTTACTGACATTCCCATCCATCAGGTACAGACCGAAACCCATTACCTAGCATGAGAAGAGGCAGAGACAGAAGCCAGTCACATCCACTGGAAATGTTTCATAAAACCAAAAAAAAGCAGACGTGGGCATGTGCACACCCACACCCCCTGTAGTGACATATTCTATGACAAAAACCCATGTGTTGGCACAAAGGAGGACACGTAGAGCTAATCTCAATCAGAAATCTGATTTCTGTGAAGACAAGCAGAGGACTCTTTCATTTATTATTGCGGTGGCCACTTCTTGAGTCCTCCCCACGGGCCAGAGTCCATGCTTAGGGATTTAGAAGACATTATCCTTAATTCTCACCATCTTATGAGTCAAATTCTACATGATAACCTTATTCTACAGATGAGGAGCTGGAGACACAGAGAGGTTAGACAGCTTGCCAAGATGACACAGATAGTAAGCTGCAGAGATAGGATCTGAACCGGGATCCACATACACGCACTTAGATCCTTCTCAAGAAAGACTGAGTGATGCTGCTGCTGCATCCCCAGGCCCTGGCAAACACTGCGGGCACTTGATGCATACTCACTAGATGGTAAATGAATGTGAAACTATTCACCCTTTCCCCAAGGAAACTACAACAAAGATTCCCAAGGAATCTCATTGGTGACTTCATTAACCAAAAGAACACATTTTGGCTGACAGTGCCCTATAGGCAGGTTGACAAGCTGATTCTAAACATTCCAGTCCATGTAATATGGGGTTGGCCAAAAAGTTCATTCGGGTTTTTCCATACAATGTGACGGAAAAACTAGCACAAATGTTTTGGCCAACCCAATAGTTTCCTGCATGCTGGCTTACGTCGCTCCTTTTGTCAAATGTACAGCAAGCCCGAGGGAGCCTGAACAACTAGGTTGAAAGCAGCTCCCTCGGCTCGCAGTTGCTATGTGACGGGGGACTAGTCATGCCTGACACCTAAGGGACTGGGCTAGGGGATGGGTACTTGCGGTGCTGCAGGGGGCGTGCCAGACTTTTCCCTTTAAGGTGGAAGGCGCCCCCTGCTGGCATCTGAGTTTACTAACACACCGTAGAGAGCCTGGAAACGGTCAAACTCCAAGAGGCCAGGTTGAGAATTGAGAGGGAGAAGGCTGGGAAGCCGAGATGTGGGAGGATTAAAAGCAGGCAAGAGAAATGAAGAGCCGAGAATCTGATAGCAGCATGTAAGGATGCTTGGTGAAGCGGGGTTTAGTAACCTAACTTGTGGAAGCAACAATTCTGGGCAGAGCTGTGGTAATTGCCTGGACAAAGCACTGGTGTGAGAGAGCTGCTGAACTCTTGAGTGACTTCTCTGAACTTCTGACTGTGCAGAGGAAGCCAGAGTGAATGAATGAGTCACAAAGCCACACTCTCCTGCAACCTTCTTCGAGATGCTATGGAAAGAAGGGAACACCAACAGGGTTGGTATTCTTGAAATAAGAGGTGACATAGAGAGGAAGAAAAAGTCAAATCACCAGGGGAACTCTGAAAGGGGAGAAAAAAACAAAAGAGGTGATGCAGTGTATAAAGAATATGGAGAACATTATTCATTTCAGTGCTATTGCTTTCAGAGAGAAGTTAGAAGTGACCTAAGCAGCTAAGGATAGAATAATGGCTAAAGAAATGGAAACTCATCCATATAACATTATTTAAGGGCTGCATGTTATTCCAAATGCACTTAATGAAATGGGATAAATAATACACATACATAATTTATGTAAACTGCATATGTTGAAAATATATCAGCACAGAAAAAAAGAGAAAGACATACATCAAAATGCTAAAAGTGTTATCTCTGGGTGGAAAGATTATAAGAGATTTGATTTTTTAATGCTTTTCTGTTCAGAATTTCTACAATGATAAACATCACTTGATAATTTAAAAATGAAACGTGTAAACTGATGAAACAAACAGTACCGTTTTGGCGAAATATAGTAAAAGCTATAAGTTTTGCCTTCCCCATGGGTTGGCAATTTTCCTCTAGGATGTCTGACTTAACAAGAGTATGGACACAAAGTGCCCCAGAGTTTCAGTGCACTTTAGCAAACAAATACCAAATGATAGAGGATTTGTTAAATGACAATGTCCCCATATAATGAAATACTAGGTAGCCATTAAAAGTCACATTGTAGACATAGCCTTAATGCTGTCTAGAAAGGTGTACACAACATATCAAAAGGAAAAAATTGGTTACAAAACCTTTTGTATAGCAAGATATGCACTATGCTGAAGCAAGAAGAAAGAAATAACTTTTAAAAATGATTTTAAATAAGAAGGAGGTGAGAGGGTGTGACTGAGGGAGCTGTACCTTGAGGAGCATGTGCTTCTCACTGGGGGTCAGATACATCTTGTTCTCGTAGTAATCCACGCAGATGTTGACAATGTCGGCCAGCAGCTCCTCGTAGCCTGGGATCACTTCCAGCTGCTGGTGGAGACACTACACAGCAGCGCCCCCCTCTGGTTAGCCCCTGCCCTGCATCCTCCTCACTTAAAGCACCCGGGATGGCTCACTGCTGGGCCCCGGGGCAGGGCACGGCCTTGCTGGCCACACCAGGTGGAGCGGGGCCTGCAACCTCTCCTCAGAGTCTACAGCGGTTGGTCAGAACTGCCGCACATCACCCGGGGCAGGGGCCTGCCCCTTAGGGGGCCTCCACTGTATTTCCTGGCAGTTCTCATGGTTAGAAATGCTTCCTCTGGCTGAACAGAAAGCAGTTCAGCTTTATAGCAATTGGCCTGTGGTCATGTCGGCTTAGTTCTGAGGGTGTGTGTAGGCTGAGCCCCAAATGTCTCCAAGGATGATAGTGGGAAGACCCAGCTCAGTGGAGGAGAAATGGGCCAGCAGGCGTCTCCCAGTACAGGACTCAGCAGTACAAAGACACTTACTATACAAGAAGACCTGAGGTCTCCATCCCAGGCCCCTTCACCATTGAGTGGGAATATCCTGGGAAAGCCATGGCGCTAACTATAACCACATCTTCTTATGTCTTTGTCTGTTAAGCTCTACATGCTATAGTATCTCATTTATTTCTCACTGCAATCCTAAACAGCCCTATTTTACAGAAGAGGAAACTGAGGCTGAGACCTTGCCCAAGGCCTCACAGCAGGGCAATGGAGGGTCCAAGATGAGAAAACAAGGCAGTCTAACTCCAGAAGCCAAGCTCTCAACCTATACCAACCTATACCGGGGCAGAACACTGGCTATAAGGTTTTCTAAGAACAAACTGAAGAGGGTGAAGTGGCCGTCTGCGGTTGGGAAGAGACACTTAAATCTGCAGCTTAAAGCTTGAGTAGAGCAGAGGGAATGAATGATCTGGGCGGAGCTCCTCTGCCCGTGGGTCCCCCAACCTCCAGGCCCCAGCTTGCGTCCCAGGATACCAAGTCAGGACTGACATGGGTTTGCCATCACCTGGGTAATCCTGTTGTGGTTGGCCAGGAACATGGACAGGTTCTGCGACTCCTGGATGGACTGGGGGTCAGCCATCTTCCTCAGGAACTGTGCTGCCCTGGACAGGGTGGTGTAGAGAGGGATGCTCATGAATAGTTGCCCTAAGCCAGGCCTCAGCTCCCACCTAACCCAGATACACTATCCCCGAAGTTGCAGGGCTCTGAATGGCACAAGTGACTCTAATATCAAAGGAGAGCCTGTTCTGGAGTCATTTCACTTGTAGCTGTTTGCACCCCTGTAATAAGGGTGCCTGAAATTAAGAAGCAAGAATGCACTGAAGTTCAAAGACTAGGCAAGTTTAAGGGTAGCTAGCATCCCATCAGCCAGCCCGAGGGAGCAGGACCTAGTGAAACGGGCATCCTGAGCCTCATAGCGACCTCCAGCAAAACTACACAGTAAGTCATGGGGAAATATCACAAGCAGCAGAATGTTCTGTTTTTGTTGGGTATTACGTTATTTACAGGAAAATCTCAATGTTTCTAAACATTGTGGGGAAAACAAAAGTCCATTTAACCTGATGGGACAGAAGGGATGATGGGTGTGGGGAACACGGCGGGCCTTGAAGGGAAGAAACCACGGCACTGGGACTTCTCCAGCCTGACCTGGAGGTGGAGTTGGCGCAGCCCGTGTCACCAGGGACTGTGGAACATGGACAAGACACAGCAAGGTCCCAGCCGGTGCCCAGAGCACGTCAGCTGTGACAATGATGGCAGGAGTTGACCACATCTGGGGAGAGTTTGGGGGGAAGCCACTGTACTATGAGCTGTCTATGGGATCTCTGTGAAATCGCCATTTCTGAATGGGGCTCTGCCTTCTGGGTACTGACAGGTTTCAGTTCACTCAAGAGGATAAATCAGCGAGGATCAGTCTGCTGTCTGCTTTCTCCAGTTACCTCGGAGCCCCAGGAGGACATGGTTCAAGGACAGGGGCCCTCTTCATCATGACACAGCAAACTCTTCCCAAGAGATATGTATGGACACCTTGGAGCTTATCTGAGCCTCAAGCAACACAGGTGGATTTGCTACTTTCACCTGCCCTCCCCCACTTTGGGGGTGGCTGTATGCAAATTTTTGGAGAGGAATGACCCCTCCCCCCCTCAGTCCTTCTTTCTTGTGAGCTGACACTGACCCTCAACTGACCCCAAAGGCGAGCACCCCTCCCATCAGCACCACCCCAACACACTCATACATAGTGTCTGAGGGAGGGATCGGCGCAGGACCCAAGCTGGAGCAAGGAGAATCCTTCTTGGGGCTTTTGCAAAATTTTTTCAAGGAGCTGCATCTTTTTCTTCCTTAGGAACTGGGGTTGCTACGCTGACTGGAGGGACGCTGCTGGAGGCCACACGGGGAATGAGCCTTCGAATGAAGCTGACACGGTGGAAAGATGAGCTGAGAGGCAGAGCGAACCAGACCAACAGCATCACCTGAGTACCTGAATCAGGTAGACCAGGACTTTTCTGTTCTGGGAGCCAACCCAGTTTCGTCTTTCACATGAGCAGTTTGAACTGGCTTTCTGATTCTTGCAGAGAATGACTCCTGTGACCATTTTAGGATTATATTAATCATAATATAATCTCAGACTGCATGGGACACAGAAAATGCTGCTCCACTGGTGGGGTAAATGAGGATTTGATTCCACCTCGATAGAAAACCCTGCCAAGACCCAGTTCTCCAAGGCTCAGCTCGGTATCTTATTCCCTAAGCTGCAAAAACAGAGGCAGACCCAGCCCTGCTGTGTCTGTGGGATGGCGAGCTTGGTTCTGAGCCTGTTAGGAGGGCTCTGTCCTCTCTCTCCCACAGGCCGGCTGCCCAGGAAGGCGGGGTGGGGGAGGGAGAGGAGCCCTGACCTCTTGTAGGCAGAGTGGTCGTTCTTGACACTGCACTTCATGTTCTTCAGCTCGTCCAAGACTGCAAACATGTTGATGAACTTGCCCAGGGTCAGGAGGTAGGCCTCGGAGACAAAGTCCTTCCGCCGCTCGGCATGACACAATCTCTTCACCTCACTGCAGAACCGCTCGATGGCTTTGCGCTGTGGGCAGAGGGGCAGCGGGTCAGGACCGGGCGGCCTGGTGGGGCGGCTCGCTGAGCTCCCTGCTGGGGAGCTGGTCAAGGCTCTCTGGGGGCTCTCCTCAGAGCCTGGACTTTTAGAGAAAGGCAAAACTGCCCAGAGGTCTTCCTCGGAGGAGTCCTGAAATCCTAAGCTGATTTCTAGAGGGAAGCCCAGAACCTGTCCCCAAGTGAGCCAAACCAATGAATTTATTCACCCTGTCTTTGCTGAGGAAGCATGCTGTCTTGTTTATGAGTGTATCCTAGCACCTAGGACAGGGCAGGCACTGGATAATTAGGGGGTAGCAATGGACAGTGAGAGGGACGTCAGAGAAAGAGCTCCACTCATCCAATAGATGCTGTTTATTGAGGATCTCCTATGTGCCAAGCATCATTCTTGGCCCTGGGGTAAAGCGGGGAACAAAACAGAAAAAAAAGTCTCTACCCAAAGGAACTTATACTCTAGTGATGGGTGACAGAAAACAAAATATCAAATAAATTCTCTAAATCAGAATGTGGTATGAGCTGTGGAGAAAAATGAAGCAAGGCAAGGAGACAGGGAGACCTTCAAAGACCAGATCAAGCCACTTTCTCCTTCCAGAGTGTAAGTCCAACAAAACTTTCCAGGATGATGGAAATGTTCTGAATCTGCACTGTCCAACACAACGTCACATGTGAGTACTGAGCACTGGAAATGCAAGCGCCAAGGAGGATATGCACTTTACATTTTATTTAATTTGAATTCATGTAGACGGCCATACATGGCTACTGGTGACTGTCCTGGACAGAGGAGTTTCCGATTACTCCATGGCATCCCTTCTCTAAATACATCTTGTCAGGAGGCCCTCAATAAAGTAAGTAAGTTTAGTACTTACTTCATTTTTGGGTAGTTTTGCTATCTTGGACCTGTCTTCCCAAAGAGCTTTTAGGCCCCTTGAAGGCAGGTCCATGAAGATAATAATAGCACCTGTGAGTTAGTAAACCTGCTCTATAGCCAGGGCTCTACAAATAGGGCTCTTTACTAATGGACCTTATTTATCCTTAAAGAAAACATGTGAAATGGGCATTCTTTCCAGAGGGTGAGAATATTGAAGGTGTCAGAGGTCTGAAATGACTTAAAGATCACAGCCAGAAGGTGGCAGAACCTTGGCTTGCTCTACATTCAAGGCTCTATTTGAATCTTCCCCACCACTTCCAGGAGGCCAGCACAGAGCTGGGCACAGGGCTGAGCCTGGGCCAGTGCTTGCATGTCTACTTAAGAGGCTCATAAATACATGTAGAACACATGGAGGGCAGAGAGTGCATGGCAGGACTACCACCCAGGCACGGGGTGGGCTTAAACTGCTCAGCCTGCATTCCTGAATGGCTTCCAACAAAACCACGATGACCAGCTTGCCCTCTTACCTGTCCCTCACAGGAGTCTTTGGCCATCTTTTCTCTTTTCCTCCTTTAAACACTGGCTCTTCTTGGCCTCCCAGCTGGTCCCTGCTGTTACTCTTCTCCCCTCACCTCCACTCCCTCGCCCTTGACACCTGCCCCTCACCTCCCACCCACTAGCTGCACAGCAGCAAGAACGTTGTTTCAACACTCTGATCAGATCATGTCACCAGAAACTTCCATCAGCTTCCTGTAATGCTTGAAGAAGATCCGTGTTCTTTTCACAGCTATGATGCCCTACATGACTGAGTCCCTGCTCACCTCCCCAACCTCACCTTTTCTCACTCCCTCAGCTCATTATGCAGCCTCCCTGGTTTTGCTCCATTTCTTAAACCCGTCATGCTTCTTGAGGTTGCAGGGCCTTTGCCTCTGCAGTTCCTTCTGCCTGGAACCCTCTGCCCCTGGATCATCACCTGCCCACCTCTTTCACATCATACAGATCTCAGTTCAAACGCCACCTCCCTTGAGGCTGGCCCTAAAGTTCATCCATGTCGGAAACACTCTCCAGGCCAGAGGTTTGCTAATTGCACTTTATTCACAGCACATGTTCTGCTGTGTATTGTTTATGGTCGGTCTCTCCTCCCCCCCCAAATACTCTCCTTTGCCCACTAGGATGTGAATTGTATGGAGGGAGGGTGCTTATCTGTCTTGCTCACCCTGGGGTGGGTCAGGGGCACTAGACAGTGTTTTGCCAAATGAATGAATAACATGGCACAGAAATCCAGACCCTTGTGTCTAGAAGGTGGGGGTCTTCTCAGTTGTCCTAGCCCAGACCCGCCCAGACCCCTCACCTGAAAGTACATGAACTTCATGAGCTTGGTGACCTCAGGCTCCAGCACTTCTACCGTCTTCTCATAGATCTCCACTCGGTTGGGCTGCTCATTGCATTTCACCTGCAGGGAGATAGGGGGTTTCGCACACCCTGGTTTGCCCAGGCAGTCCTGGTTCACACCTGCTGTCTTATTAACAGGGCCCATTTTCACTCTCGAATGCACTTCATTTAGGATGAGAAGTGATATGGTGGCTGCACAGTGAGAGGAGGCTGGGGCAGCCCTGATAAAGAGTGAGTGCTTCTAGGCAGGACTGCTCCCTAGACATCGGCTGCAGGAAGGAAACCAGCTGGTTCCCAGAACGGAGCCCTCCTCCCCCACAGTCTGTTCTAGGCCCCCACCATGTGCTGTACGCACGTCTGTGTTCATCTACAAGGTCTTCCTCCTTCCATCTTTCCCTCAGTCCTACCCTGGGGCGGGGAGGGGGTGGGGTGGGGTGCGGGGAGCTCTGCCATTTTCCAAGCAGAGAAGAATGTTCTGTCCATGGCTCTGAGTGCACTTGGGGCAAAGCCCGTGTCTGCACCTGGGCCCAGTGAGGAGCCCGTTTTCTCTGCCCAGGGGTTTTCGGCACATCAGAACCACGTGGCGGGTGTGTTCACAGCATGTGCACACAAGGCTGCTAACAGGTCATCGACACTGAAGAGTCAGCAAAGGGTAATAAGCACAAGGACATTCTTCATACTATTGTTTAGAAATTGTGAAAATGGTAGCACAAGCTAAACATCCACCGGTCGATGATTAAATGGATAAAGTATTAATATGATGCACTACCATTAATGTAACTGTTGGGGGCGATGAGACAGGTCTCTGACCTGACATGGAAAGATTGCTACCATAAATCTGGGTGGAAATAGCTGCAGGAAAGTACGGGTAATTTAATCCTGTTTTTATTGAATAAAACACAAAACAGTGCATGTGCTGGTGTGCCCATATATAATACAGGTACAGAGACTCTGAAAGGGTGTGAACCAAGCTGCTAGTAAGCAGTTCCCTCTGGGGGTTAGGACTGGGAGCAAGGGAGAGGAATGGTTTCTGTTTACACACTTGGGGTTTGTTGCTTTGGTGATGCTGGGACCCATGAATATAATATGATAATGATAAAAATACTATCTGTGTCAACATGAAAAAAGTCAGCTATAAAGAATGAAGTGTAAAAAAGCAAGTGGCTGAACCATATAAATAAGAACAACACGCTTTTGTACATGACAATAATTTACAAAATAATAATCAGAAATATTCATGTTGTTGGAGGAAAGAGAGTCAAATGAACATGCAGCAAAGGGTCCACAGTGATTACGCTTTGGTGGGAGGAAGGGATTTGGGTGGTGGAGGGAGGGGGTGAGGCTGTCTTGCTTTCTACTTTACATCTTTCTGCAGTGGTTTGGGTATTGTACAGTTAGCGTATACTGATTTCAAAATAAAAGGATAATGAATTTTTTGAAGTTGGCGTCAGTTTTATGGGATGCTCTCTGCACGTGTTCAGTGAGCCCCCCTGGGTAGGAGACTCCGCTTCACTCCCTGGCGCTGGGAGAAGGTCTGGAGCCTGGGCGGGGTGGGTGGAGGGTGGAGACACCGCTTGCGGGGCAGGACCGGCTCACCTGGGGGATGGCCCGGGAGCAGCTGCGCCAGGTGTATAGCATGACCGCATACTCGTGCCCTTCCTCCAGCATTTCATTCTGAAAAGCAAAACGAGCTCAGCAGAGAGAAACTACTCCAGGGCCAGAAGACTTCTCCACAGCTCCCCTTGCCGCCACATCCTTGGACTCACAGTGCGGTCTCTAGACCAGCAGTATCAGCATTGCCTGGCGGGGGTTGCTTATTAGAAATGCAGAGTCTCAGGCCCCTCCCTGGGCCTTTGGAATCTGAATCTGCATTTCAATAAAATCCCCAGGGAACTCACATTCCCTGGTGCAAAATAAGTTTGAGAAGCACTGGCCTAAATTATCCTCATCAGTCACCCCAGGGCTCTATCAGCTGGACACACTTTTCAAAGACAGATAGCTACCTCAGAAAGGTGGAGCAGATCCACTAGTTCCAACGGCAAAAGTTGTCCCAGATAGCAAGAAAATAAGCAAGCAGCCAAACAGAATGCACAGCAGGTAGGTTAAAAAAAAAGAGTAAAAATTGTGAAAGTATAATATATTATTGTGTGGACTTCCCTGGTAGCCCAGTGGTAAAGGATACACCTGCCAATGTGAGTTCAATCCCTGGGTTGGGAAGATCCCCTGGAGGTAGAAATGGCAACCCATTCCAGTATTCTTGACTGGGAAATCCCATGGACAGAGGAACCTGTTGGGCTATAGTCCATGAGGTCGCAAAGAGTTGGACATGATTTCAAGAGTAACCACAATATTATTGTGTATTGAAAAATATCTTGGTGGAATACATATCAAGACTATGAGGAGCAAGCTCTCTGTGGGGCTGGATAAATGGGAGCTTTCACTTTTCGTTTCACATAGTGCTATAATGTTTGCATTTTAATAAGAGCCCATGCTGCTATTTCATACTCAGGAAGATAGTTAAGATCAAGATTAAGATTTTTAAAAATAATACAGAGCAGATGGTAAAATTAACAACAGCATGAAAAATGAACCTGATTACTCACCTCACCTAGTAACTGCTTCAGTGGAAAGAACCCTAAACTCAGGGTCTAAATATCTGGGCTGAAGTCCCAGCTTCATCACTTCTTAGCCCTTTGGCCTTCAGGAAGTCACTTAACCTAAAATTCTCCATCCAGTCATCTGTATAATGATGATGACAGTAACAACCTCAGAGAATTTTGTGAGAACTGAATAGAATACAAACATAACACAGTGGTGGTTTAGTCGTGTCCGACTCTTTGTGACCCCATGGATTATAGCCCACCAGGCTTCTCCGTCCACGGGATTTCCTAGGCAAGAACACTGGAGTGGGTTGTCATTTCCTTCTCCAAGGGATCTTCCTGACTCAGGGATCAAACTCATGTCTCCTGCACTGCAGGCAGATTCTTTGCCACTGAGCCACCAGTGGCAAAGCCCACAAGCACACATATACGCTAGGCAATCTGTAAAGAGAGCTTGGAGTATTACTAGGGAGAAGATAGTCTGGCAGTTCCTCAAAAAGTTAAATCACAGAGTTACTATATGATCCAACAATTTCACTCTGAGGTATATACTCAAGAGAAATGAAAGCATATGTCCACACTGAAACTCCACACTTGCTCACAGCAACATTATTCTAATAGTCAAAAAAACAGAAACAACCCAACTGTCCATCGATGGATGAACGGATAAATAAAATGTGATGTAGCCAAGCAGAGTAGTACGCATCTGTAAAAAGGAATGAAGTACTGATCCATGCTACAACATGGGTGAACTTTGAAAACTTTATGCTAAGTGAAAGAAGGCAGACACATAAGACCACTATTATGCGATCTATTTAGACGAACTGTTCAGAATAATCAAATCCATAGAAACAGAAACCAGATTAGTGGTTGGGGGACAGCAGAATTGGGAAGGACTGCTAAAGGGTTTGGGGTTTCTCTTTGTGGTGATAGAAATTAGACAGGGGCAATGATTGTACAACATTGTGAATCTACCATAAAAACAGTGAACTGTACACTTTAAATGGTGAATCTTGTTATATGAAGGACATCTCAAAAAATAAACTAAAAAATAGTATTACTAGGCCATCTCTTTTGTAAATGTTCATACTGATACAAAAATGAGCCTTTACTCAATTATTTTTTATCCCACACATCATATCTATTTCATAATACCTTCCTAGCACAAGATCAGATTTAATTTGGAGCTTATTCCTTTTTATAGTTTTGTTTTCAACAGCAAATGTTACTGACGAGTCACACTTTCAATTCTTAATTTAGAGAACTCTTTAAATCAGTAACATGTTGTCCTTGAGACCGGAAAGAACCAAGATCAAGTCTGTGGGTCTTCTGCTGCCTTTGCTTCAGAACATGTGTCAGAAAAGGGAAGTGACAGTGACATGTAGGGAACATGTGTCTAATTATGAGCATCAAGCTGCCCACTGGCAGGTGTTAGGATCCCACTCACTCACCCACTGAACCTTTCACCGAGCACTCACGCAATCCGCGCTCATTGCTCCCTGCTAGGAACAGGCCAGGGCACAAGAATGCTGTGGACTCTGCCCTGTGGGCAGTTCAGCTGACCATCAGTTAGGTTTGTTGTATAATCATGTCTGGAATATAGAGGTCAAGATGGTGTGGTGGATAGAGCCTCAGGGAATTTGAGTTCTGCTCTTGGCTCTGCTTGGACCCACCTTTTACCTGGAAAAGGTCATGGTTTCATCATTTGGAGGCAGAGAATTGGCCTAAATCAGCAGTCCCCAACCTTTTTGGCACCAGAAACTGGTTTCAGGGAAGACAATTTTTCCACGGACCAAGGTGGGGGGTGAAGGTGGTTTCAGGATGATTCAAGTGCATTACATTTATTGCACATTTTATTTCTATATTTCTTTCTTTCTTTCTATTATTATTACATCAGTTCCACCTCAGATCTCCAGGCATTAGAACCCAGAAGTTGGAGATCTCTGGCCTAAATCACTGGTTCACAACCTGGCTACCCATGAGTCAGCTGGGTAACTCCTGATGCCCAGGCTGGACTCCAATGGAATGAAATCTTTATCTCTGGGGGACGGGTCCAGGCATGAGTGGTTTTTTTTTTTTTTTAATGCTTTCTAGGTGATTTCAATGTGCAGCCCAGGTTTATAGTTGCAGGATTAAGGCTCTCTCATGTTCTTTACATTTTTAAGATCCTGTAGGTCCGTAATTTAACCCAATGTGAATTCACTTCAAGTTTCAGATTCCGGCAGACTGTACCTCTCAGCACTTAACTTTGGACACTAGGTCCCCACCTCACTCCCAGAAAAGAACTCTTGACTGTTCCTTGTACCTGGTCAGTTACATGGTTTACACACTGTCTCCTCCTTCCCCTTTCCTCTGGCTATCCTGCCCTTTGAGAGATCCACCTTGCCCCAGTGTGGGCAGGAGTAGGACAAGAAGATGAACATCTCATGAAGCCTCTTGCTGCTGACAAGCTACTCTAGACAAAGTCTGAACAGGGTACAAGGATGAAACTGTCGAGGAAGTGAGGTTTGGGTATTATCCATGAACATCAGCAGTGCACCCTATTTTGGACTTTGCCTAAAACCTTATCAACACTATCCCTGTGTCAGTAGAATAGTGGCCCCCAGAAAGATGTCTGCAACCTAAAACATAGGACCTATGGAAACAATTCCTTACATGGCAAAAGGATGGAATGAAGCTAGCAACACCGAGATGGGGAGGTTGTCCTGGGTTATTGGGTGGACCCAGTGTGATAGCAAGGGTCCTAAGGGAGATGAGACAGTCAGAGCAGGAGACGTGAGGATGGAGACTGAAGTGGTGTGACTGCTAGCTGGAAGGGGGCTGAGCCAAAGAATGCAGACAGCCTCTACAACCTGCAAAAACAAGGCCACAGATTCTCCTCCAGTGCCTTCAAAAGCAAATGCAGCCCTGCCAACACCTGGATTTAATCCTGTAAGATCCCATGTCAGACTTCGACCAAAAGAACTGTAAGCAAGGGAATCTGTGTTATTTTAGGTCACCAAATCTGTGATAATGGTTACCGCAGCAATAGAAAAGGAATCCAGTCCCTCTCCACACTGGCCCCTCTGACATCCCTACTGGTGCCCCTGGCCTGGTTTTTCCAGGAAACCTCAGTCAGCACTGTTCCAGCTCCCCTCAGCCCCAGCCCCCAGCAGACTGTGAAGCCAGGCAGAGTCGCCCCCCCGAGCCTCTTACATCCCTGACCCCTCAGCCACTCCTCAGGCCACTGCCCTCAACCGGCCCTTGACACATCCAGGGTAGATAACCTTATCTCAACTGATGTATTTGCTTCTCCCATGCCTCCTTACTACTCGTTCTGCACAAAACTAACAAGCGAAATTTATTCCTCAAGTGTAGTTCTGTTCACATTTTCCTCATTAATGAAAACTGTCTATTGCTACTGATCTTTTTTTTTATTAAATGAATGAAAGCCCTCTGTCATGGACTGACTTGTGTCACCCCCCAACCCCAAATTCATATGTTGAAGTCCTAGCCTTGGGACCTCAGAATGTGACTATATTTGGAGACAGGGCCTTTAGAGAGATGATTAAGTTAACATGAGGCCATTATCCAGCCTGACTGAATTTGGACACAGAGAGACACCTTACGTGTGTCTACACAGACAAACGACCACGTGAAGACAAAGCCAGAAGGCACAGACAGGCCTCAGGAGAAACCAACCCTGCTGACACCTTGATACTGGATTTCTTGTCTCCAGCAACAGGAGAAGACAAATTTGTTATTTAAGTCACCCAGTCAGTGGCATTTTGTTAAGGCAGCTCTAGCAAGCTAAGACACCCTCTATGCACCTAATTCTTTATGAATATCACCAAGAGTTTCCCTACATGGACTTCACAGTTCCAATCCAGGGAAACTCTGAAGACTTTTGCCTCTGAGCCTCTCCTTACGCTTCTTCCACCAGCTGGTATGCCCTCCCCATCTTCTCTCTGACATAAAATTCTAATTGGGTGGGTCAGCGGAGGTCAGAGCTGGGAATCATAAGTCCAGGATTCTAGGTTCAGCCCTGTGATTTACTAATTGTGTGATTGTGAGCAACCTGCTTATTAACTTCTCTAGGTCTCAGTTTTCTCATCCCGAAAATGTGTATAATGATCTCTTTGCAAATCACAGGCTGTAATAAGGTTCCAATGATATTATGTATGAGAAAATTTTACAGAGTTTAAAGTACAATATATATATGTAAGTATATATATATATATATATAGTTATAACGTGTGTATGTGTGCAAAATATACAAAGCTATACTCAAAAGCTACTTCTTGCAACAAGCTTTCTCTGACCCTCTCAAGGTCACTTAAAAATTCTGAACTTTCACCATGTCTTTTATCTTCAACATTGTACATTTTTGTCTGCAAAGACTTGTCTAGAGCGTGTTTTATAGTCAAACAGATATGGGTTTAGCTCTGTCATTTGGCAGTGGCAGGACCCTGAGTAAGTTACTTCACTTTTCTGGACTTTCATTTTCCCCATCCATAAAGTGGGTATTGTAATAAGACATTCTTCCCAGGGTTGAGGTGACAATTAATTGATACTGCATTTGAAATACCTGCACAGAAAATGTTCAATAAATGCTAAGTTTGTCTATTTCCCATTTGATTCATTGAGAACTAAGACCCCACCTGTCCCTGCATACACGCCGTGCTCCCCCACCTCTGCCCCTCAGCCCTTCAGCATTCATCAGGATCTGCTCAAGTAGCAGGCACACAATATTTATTGAGTGAATGGGCAGGGTGTGGTGAGACAAGGGTTTAGCCTATCGATGATATAGTGAGAAAGGTCCTCCGAGCTGCAGTCAGAGCCTGTGAATGAGGAATTGTGGAATTCTTTTGTTCTTTATTCTTTTTAAAGAAACTTTAAACTTTTTACTTTATGTCTTAGGTCAGGATGTGCGCAGCATGTGAGATCTTAGTTCCCTAACCAGCAATTGAACTTGTGCCCCCTGCACTGGGAGGGCAGTCTTAACCACTGGACCGCCAGGGAAGTCCCTGAATTCTTTAAATGTCAGTGATGCATGAGGGTGAAATCATGAAAGCCAAAGGGAGGAAGGTACCCACACAGGTGGGTCAGACACAGACCCATCAAACCACTGGCCCTTGTCTGTGAATGATTTAAGCCACCAGCTTCCTCCAGTCAAGAATGTGTTACTCCAAAACTTTGAGAAACTTTGTGCTTTGGTCAAGAGCCAAAATTCCACACAGCCAGTAATCTATAAAGTACAAAACAAGGCAAGATCTAATCAACTGTTAACCCCAAAGATAGAGAGAAGTTCAGGAAAGCAAACAGTGGGAATAGAGTTGGGCCCCAAAGGTGAGCAGGATTTGCAAGGCTGGAGGATACAGACCAGTGTAGCTCAGGCATGGACAGGGGATGGTTGGGGCCTGAAAAAGGGCTTGAGGAGATGGATCCTTCTGAGGCAGTGGGTTCTTGGAATAGCTGAGCCCCTGGCCCTGGCAAGAGAAGCTGCCCACAGCCCTGCCCCCACCAGGAAGGGCTGTGTGTGTGCCTGAGGGTCACGGAGACTTACCATGCTGGAGTGCACTGTAGCCTGCTCAATGTACCTTGCAATGCCTGTGACAAATGCATTCCTGTCCTCGAAGTTTGTGTCAAAGTTAGCCTGCAGGAATTAAAGGATAGGAATACTTAGTGGTTGGAAAACAGGTTCAAGATGGCTGGGTGTCCGGGAAATAAACTGCTGCCAACAAATGCCCAAGTTCTCTGGGGAAATCTATCTCCACACCACCCTCTCATCTTCCATCGAGAAATCCCACCCTGCATTCCCCTGGGCAGAAGCTGGCCACAGACAGGGGCTGCATCTGCTTCCCATGGGTAATCAGGTTCACCCAGAGAGCCTCACAAGTAAAAACTTAAACTATACAAGCCTAAATAGCTTGTTAAAAATGGAGTTTTTTTTTTTTTTTTTAAGAGAAGCAGACTCACAGATATAGAGGAACAACTAGTGGTTTTTTCTAGAAGGGGAAGAGCAAAATGGTGGGGTGGGAGGTACACACTAGTGGGTGTAAGATAGGCTCAAAGTTGTATTGTATAACACTGGGAATATAGCCAATATTTTGCAATAATTGTAAATGAAATGTAACCTTTAAAAATTGCATTAAAAATTTAAAGATGTTTTTAAAGGTGAAGATACTAAAGAAAAGGAAAGGTATACACTGTTTTCATTTCGTTGTTGCAAAAATATTTGCCTGAGGGTGCAGATACCTCTGTACAAGAATAATAACTGCACTAATTTTTTGTAATAAAAAAACTGGAAACCATCCAAATGTCCATTAACAGCCAAAGGCTAAATAAATAATAGCATATCCATAAAATGGGCTCATAGGTACTATGTGCTGGTTAAAAATAGTATGGCAGCATTGTAGTATTGTCAGGAAAAATACCCAGAATAAATTTTAAGTTAAAAAAGTCAAATCATAGAGGCTTTTACCATCCTCTTTTGGTAAAAAAAAAAAGTTATATATCTACATGGTAAAAAGATGTGTGTGTGTGTATATGCATGTATATACAGACATAGTTTCAGGGAAATTTTTATTTGTTATACTTTGCTGTATTGCTTATAATAAAAAGATATCTACATAATTAAAAACTTACTGTGGGTTAGACAATGTGAATAAACCAACTTGATGAGTTGAACCTTCAGGCATGTGCTTAATAAATCAAGCCATTGAATGAAATTAAAAATATACTATGCATTTATTCTTAGTCTCATTTAGCAGTTCCAGAACTTTCAAAAGGTCAAATACAGCAAAAAAGCTAAAAATTTACAATTAACTTACTCTTCCTTAACATGGTACACTCGCCCAGCACACTCAGACAAGGTGCTATTTGCAAGGCTGACTCCAGCTGCACCAATACCCTTCCCACCATGCCCAGTGGGGATCAGTTTGAGCAATCTGATCACAGTTTGTCACGAGCTTGCCTCTTTTGGGCAAAAGCAAACAACTGTGACTAGCTTCCCCAAGCCATTATTGGCTGTGCGGAGTTGAAGATCTCTTCTCACATACATGAAGAAAAAGTAATTACCCAGGCAGGCTCTAGGGGTTTTTTAATGGTGATATTTAATTCATGAGGTCAGAGCTGCCAAGACCTTGGTTGGTGCCACAGCAAGAACAGCCGGGAAGGTATTTGGGGTCAGAACAGATCAACAAGCCTTCCCCTGGGAAGAGAAATAGCGCTGGTAGACGTTTACTAGCTAATCTATTTCTTACACTCAGCTCCACCACTGCACCGGGGACTCCATCAGTTCACACCTTTCACCTTCTAGATTCAGGCAGCAACCCCCCCCGCCTGCAGGGCAAACCCTCTCAGGGGGTCCCCAGAATTCCTGAGCCCCTCATCCTGGTCCCGGTGCTCTGGGAGGACTTACCTGGTACATGATGGAGGAAGGTGGGGGCTCGATGCACGGCTGCTGATCAGGGAGGGGCAGCTCTTCCAGCAGGTCCACGTTGGACAGGGCATCTTCCAGGGTGACGTGGGTGGTCATGGCTGCAGTTTCGTTGCCCGCGCTGAGGGGATACAAGAGAAGGAAACGGAGAGTTTCAGGGGCCTCCAAACATTCCTCCCAGGCCCCCCCAGTCCAGGCTTCTTCCAGAGCATCCAGGGAGGTAAGTGACATGCACTGGGACCACTTTCCCTTGCTACTTTTTCACAGATGCACTCAACCTGTGTGGGATATCTGAGGATGTCCTTACAGTTTGTGTGTGTGCGTTAGTTGCTCAGTCACGTCTGACTCTTTGGGACCCCATGGACTGAGGCTTGTCAAGCTCCACTTCCACGGAATTCTCCAGGCAAGAATACTGGAACGGGTGGCCATTCCCTTCTCCAGGGGATCTTCCTGACCCAGGGACCAAACCCAGGTCTCCCACATTGCAGGTAGATTCTTTACTGTCTGAGCCAGCAGGGAAGCCCCCTTTATATTTACAAAGTACTTTTTTATGTCTGTTGCCTCAACTGAAACTCACACCACAATCCTCTCATGGCTAGTGGTATCACATCCACATAATCGATGGAAGACCAAGGCTCAGGGAAGTTACGTGATGCCCATGCAAACACAGAGACCAGCAGCAAAGGACCTCAAGACATGCCTGACCCTGAGACATGGCTCAAAGTCAACCTCCAGTTTTTGCTATTCGAGGAGATATTTATCAGTTCCACTCTTCAATTCTTGCATAACACAAATATCCATTATCAAGAGTGCCAAAGATTATCAACTTGAAACCAGAGTTTGAAGTTAAGCTGGGGGTCAGAGAATTCAGACTCCAGAGAATTTAACCTGATTTGCAAAAACATTAGAGCCGTTGTCTTCCTTGGCCTAGAAGTATGGTATTCTTTGTCAGCTACACCAAGCAAATAAGCCTGAGATGGACATTTCTGTGTCTCAAACCCTGGCAGAGTACAGCGGCTTTGATGAGAACTTTGCCAGACACTGAAGTTGAAGAGGTTCTAAACAGCACTTACCTATCTGGAGCTAACTGCTATTTTAAGAACTCAGCACTCAGCAAACAGAAAACTCAGTTTTTAAAGCATATGCAAAACATTAATAAAACATGATCATGATTTAGGGCATACAACAAGTTCTCACAAGCTCCCCCAAATATGACCTTCTAGAAGTCATATTCACTGACTACGTGCCATAAAATCAGAAATCAATAACACAACTTATTGCAAAGGAAATAACCCAAGCCTGTGAAAATTTATAAAAACGTATCTCTCAGGTTATTCATAGCTAAAGAGGAATTCAAATAGAAATTATAAAATATTTAGAAGTGAAAGGTAGAGAGCATGAATAAATGTCTCGATGCATTTCACAGAAACTAAGAAAGCAGAATTACATGAATTGAATTTTCTGCTCAAAAACCTAAAAAAGATAAAAATCAACTTGAAGAAATGAGAGTGCAGGGATTACTACCTACAAAAGCAGAACTATATGAAGCAAAAAACAAATAAAACAAAAATAACAGTCGACTAGGTGAACAAAAATTGAAAAACTGAATTTTATAAAAAGATGATGAAGAAGAAGAAGCCGCTGCTGCTAATCCTTTGTGTGCAAAGTCACTTCAGTCCTGTCTGACTCTTTGTGACCCCCCTGGACTGTAGCCCACCAGGCTCCTCTGTCCATGGGATTCTCCAGGCAAGAGTGCTGGAGTGGGTTGGCATTTCCAACAAGGAAACTCCGGGAAGGCTGACTGTTGCTCCTGTGAGTGCCCCTCTCCTCCCCACCCCCAAGCCCAGGGAAGCTTGAGACCCGCATCAGGGCTGCAGTCTCAGTGTCAGAGGACCCGCCTTGCTCATTAGGAAACGAGAGACCAGGGTGGAAAAGGACCAGCGACCGACCGCAGAGCTGGGCCAGGCTGTGACCGGCTGACGCGGCTGCCCCAGCGTCCTCCTGAGGCCTGGTGGGAGGGCAGGCGGGGCTGAACTGCTGAGAACTGCTTCACGCCTCTCTGAGCTCTCAACTCACCTCCCTGTCATGTGCTCCGGCAACAGTGAAGGTCCCATCCAGGGAGGGCGCGGGGAGCTCAGAAGGGACTTCCCCCTCTGCCCTCAGCAGGTGCCTGGCCTCACGGGGGTGGGTGGTCTCTGGCCTTCTCCACACCGATGCTTCTTTCTCCACTCTCTTCTCTGCCCTGAATTCTAAGTGTGGTCTTCAGCTCTACGGCCAAACCATCCATCTGCCAGTCCACAGAAAAGACTGTCTTCTTTCTTACATTAATGTGAGGTTCATTTTGCAGGATTTTTCAGGGCATAATGATCTGTATGCCTTCTTATCTATATGATCTTCCCAGGTAGCACTGGTGGTAAAGAACCTGCCTGCCCAATGCAGGAGATTTAAGAGATGTGGGTTTGATCTCTGGGTTGAGAAGATCCCCTGGAGGAGGGCATGGCAACCCACTCCAGTGTTCTTGCCTGGAGAATCCCTTGCAGGCTGCAGTCCATAGGGTCGCAAGGAGTCGGACACGACTGAAGCAGCTTAGCATGCAATGATCTATAAGCTCCAAAACCCCAATAACTCTCTTCATTAATTCAAATAATAATAAAGCTAACATTTTAAGCCCTTACTCTTCACTGCCAAGCACTTGACTATTTTAATCTTGCATCAACCCTATAAAGGTAAGTATTAATACTATGATTATTCCCATTTTACAGATAAGCAAACAGAAGCTCAGAATTTAGATTATATTAAAAGGTCAAGTGCTGGCAAGTGGTGGAGCTGGGCTTGGAACTTAGGTTTGTCCTACAAAAGAAAAGCCTAGATGGGTGGGATGGGGGGTTGTGAGAGGGAGGTTGAAGAGGGAGAAGATACATGTAAATACATGGCTGATCCGCTTCCTTGTACAGCAGAAACTAATACAGCGTTTGTAAAGCAACCATATCTCAATTAAAAAAAAGAGAGAGGCCTCAGTTCAGTTCAGGTCAGTTGCTCAGTTGTGTCCAACTCTCTGTGACCCCAAAGAAAGGCCTAGAAGCAGCTATTTATCTATGACTGCCAAGGCTGTGTCAAAGGACCAACTTGAGGCAGCTTCCACTGGCCAAAGAGGGGGCAATCTGAGGACCAATTTGCAAAATTCAATGGACTTGAAACAATACAAATAGATATGAATCCATAAGATTGTAAAGACACTTAAGAAAAACTTGGTTTTGTGCCTCTGTTACTATTGGACGATGCCTGTGAATCAACTTTCATGTTAAAAATCAATACATAAAAGGAAACAGTTTGCAAACACTGAACCATTCTTTCCTGTATCAACTGCATCTCTGAATCACTAAATTGTAGAAGAGATGGCTGCTTCTCTTTATAAAGGTATTTCTTTTTTCTCCAGAAAGATTCACAGAATTAAAATATCCCTAGTTTTCAACACCTAATGAACAAATGGCATAGGCTCTGATCATCAACCACTGCTAACATCACTACATGAGGGACAACCAGGCATTCTGTGCCACTTGACAGAGAAACACACTATCATCTCATGAAGAGTGCTGAATCCAAAACACTTGAATCTAATCAAGCTTTGGATATCATTGGACAGGAAATACAGAGGACAAAACACGTTAAAACACCACAGTAATGCAATTAGTAAAATATAATCTATGAGAAAGTCTGCTGGACAAATAACTCAGTACCTTTAACAAATAAAAGTGCAAGGGAACAAAAAGATGGAAGTGGAAGTTACAGATGATAAAAGACTTAGACTATCACATGTGTTTACCTTATTTTGTTCTTATTTCAAACAAACCTTCATAAAGATGAAACTGTAACATAAATTCAAAAATGGGAAAATTTCTGTGGTAGTCATTGACTTGATTATTTGACAATAATATGGAAATAGTGCTATTAATTTTTTGATATGACAGTAATGTTGAAGTTATGTTTTAAAAGAGTCCTTGTCTTTGACAAATACCTACTAAAATATGGATAAAAGGATACAGGGGTTTGCTTCCAAATAATACTAGATGGGGAAAGAGTGAAATAGATAAAACAAACATAGCTATGAGTTAACTGTCAATGCTGTGTGATGCTAACATAAAGGGATTTATGATAATTTTTCTATTCAATTTTAAATACACTAGAAAATTTCCATAAAAACTCCCAACTCAGTGTATACACTCCCAGTTCTGATCTACCCTTACTGCATCTTCCCTGACTCTTACTTGCCATGATCTTTGCTTTCTCCTTCCTCCTATAAACCGGGTTTCTTCTAGGCTTTGAGATTCCAGAACACTCATTTACCAGAATAACCCTTAAGATTTTCCCCTTAAATATAGTAAAACGCCCATCCTTCCCTTGAAGAGAATCAATAAGTGAACGGCCTACAGAGCCAGTAAATTAGGATTCTTTATTTCTGTCATAAATTCAGCTTCTCTAATGGATTTCTCTGTTTGTAGATCATTCACCACCTAAGAGAGAAGGAAATCAGATATTTCTAACCCAAGTGCTGGAGGTCACTGCCAACTCTACATCAATCAGAAAGAAAAAACACTATGGAAATTTTAACTGGGGTATACATATAAATACTTCTTTTCCAGCCCAAGTGTCCTGACTTTTACACAATCTTCCAAAGGAGAAGAATTCTTAATATTCAGTCTATGACCACGTGGCCATTTTGTCACTTTGGAAAAGAAATTAATAAAATATTGAAAAATTAACACTATTCTGGGAACAACATTTACCAGACACAGCTGCAACCTGCAATGTGGGGAATTCATGGCAGATTAAAATTCAGTGTCTTCATAATAAACTTAAACTCAGTGGCTTGGTTTCACCGAGAAGTAATAACATTGGAGTCCCAGGCAATCTGGTTCTGAGAAGGGTTTACAGCCCCCCATCCCCATGTTGCCAAGACGACTGATAGATTCTGAGCAAAAAGGGGCGCACCCCACAGATGCAGGATGGGCACTAGGAAAGCCTAGCTTTGGGACTGCAGGTTGGTACAGTTTTAAGAAAAGATCTGCATTGTCATTTTCTGTCTGACTTTCTAGAAGGAAAAGGAAAAAAGTCATAATTTTT